CGGGAGGCCAAATATACTGCCCGAAATAAAGAAGTCGACACGTGTATTTAGAAGCACATTAAACTCTGTTTAATGTTAACCAATCAAATACCAAAATCTATGATCTTGCCTATCTATAGCCCAGGATCTACTGCCACGTGTCGCCGTTTTGGAAATATATCAGGTCTCGTTATGTGGCCCACCTCAGATACCGTCGTGATCTCGTTGATTCGGATTTCGGATCGAGGTTACGGACCAATCCGTAACCGGTTACGTATCGCGATCCACATTTCGAATCGAGGCTACTGATCAATCGATAATCGATCCGGATTTGTCGATCCGTCGATACGGATTAGTCGATTCGTCGATCCGTCAATCCGTCGATCCGTCGGTACGTCGATCCGAATTAGTTGATCCGGATTTGTCGATCCGGACTGGTCGATCCGGTCGTTTCAGATCGTGCCTATGGTGTGTGTCCCACACCCGATACACTTTTATCGAAATTCTTCTGTGTTGTCATCGTGTTGACCTCTCATCCATTCGTCTCGCAAGGCTTATTGGCCAATCAGAGAGCGGGATATAATCAGCAGTGTTCATCGATCACTGGGGAACCTTCGGATCGCTTTTCCACACTAGAGTGTTTGGTAATCCACTTGTTGATAATAATGATACTCTGTCACCTTATGTAAATGTCAACATGATTTTTCGACCTCTTCCGTCTGCATTCTCGTTTTGCTTGTTGACTGCCTCTTGTAATACATCACGCAAAAAAACGCGTGATCTTTTTTCGTAATAGAATTTATTCGGTTACTGCAGCCATCCGCATGCGGTGTATGTTTTTAAGAGCAAATATTAGCAACGGGAGACGTAATCTAATGCATCGCGTTCGGAGTCGATATGCCGTTGGCCACAAAAGTAATACCATAAGTTGCATCATCGGCAACCTTATCTTCATCATATTGAATTATCAATAGTTTCGGCGCAATGTCATCGGTAGATACTCCCTTATCAAGCTTTGAGACTGGGTGCTTTGAAGCTGAGAGAGCAAGAAGCGCCGGGACGCGAGGATGCTTTGCGATGTTCCCGAAAAAAGGCGTCAATCCGGTTGACGCATGTACTGCATTGTTGATAGCAATCTCTGCAAGTGGAAGAAATGAACTCCATGACGAGAAAGATGTTGCATAACTGCTCAAGACATCTTCGAGCACTCTGTTTACGCGCTCCGTTTGCCCATCCGTCTCTGGATAGTCCGCCGTAAACATAAGCAACCGCGTGCCTAATAGCTGGAATACTTCGGCCCAGAAAGCCGAAGTGAAACGGTCACGGTCCGAAACAATAGATTCTGGCAAGCCGTTGAAGATAAGATCTATGAAGATCTTTGCTGTCGTCTCCGCCGTAATGTTGGCGGAGACCGGAGCAAAATGCACCATTTTGCTAATTCGATCCACGAATACCAATACTCCCAAGCGCTCTCTTCATCCGGTGTAAGTCCGAAGATAAAATCCATGCTGACTGAACGTCAGTCTTCCGTAGCAATCGGAAACGGACGCAATGGGGCTTGTGAAGACGGCGCGGGCTTCACAGGATGGAAGTTTTCTCAGAAGCGCACACACTTCTAAATGTACTTATACATTCGCTGTAGCGGTGCTACACAGCTCTTCAGTCAGAGGAAGACCTTAAAGGATGTAGCCTCTTAGTTCTAAAAAACTAAATCGAGTTACGGTTACAATCCACTTAGTTCTATGTAACTAGTTCAACGACTACGAAGTTTACCCGTCCTAGAGACTTCTTCAGTCTACGAGCTTACACTCACAAGCTTAGTAAGCTTACGGGTCACAGAACCGTACGTACGAGGTGCACTAGAAAACAAGTCTTGTAAAGACCTTGCTTCTAAAATTCAACATGCGAACTGATTTTTTTATGCACTAAGATATTTAGGAATAACCCTATCCTAAGTGCCATACACTAAATTAACTGCTATAATAGTAACAATAATATGCAGACTTTTCTATTACACGACGTGTCGTCCAAACATCTGGGTGTAATGTACTTAGTACACTCCATACCGATCTTCGAATCCTAATCGATATGATACGGTATTACCGAATACCGTATCATAACGCTTATACTTAATACCTCCTTAAAGAGAAGTATCAAGAATACATTTATGCAATATTCGTAATATTACATCCACAACATGATTATGAATATAACTACAGTATCTCAGCATCATGTAACGCCGTTAAATTCGCGGTCATAAAAACACACGAGAAATAGCCATAAACGTCTTTTTCGCGACTCAGGTGACCACCAGCTGAACTGTCGTGAAATTCGTGAGCCAATAGGACTCGAAAACCGTCATCAGCAGAGATGACGAAACGCGGTGAACCAAAGACGTTCATCGTGTACGTCAGCAACGGACCGTCAAGAGCGTAACGCTTGATGTCATTGCGTGTTGGTTTCGTCAACTTCGCGAGTGAACCCTCACTGGGGTGATACGATAGTTAATGATTCCCGCATAGAAGGAATCATTAGCGTAAAATTCAGATCTGAGTTCGAATCGACAGCACAAGTGTTGAGATCGTAGAATTGAGTCCTAGCTCAATACAACACGCTTAGATGTCGACGACGTCATCAACATTCTCTGTTTGATGACACATGTCTCGCCAAGGATCGTAATCAGGACGACGAGAAAGCGCGTCAGCGAGAATGGTGTTCTTGCAAGTCTTGTAATGTACCACAAAATTATACTCGGCGATGAATGTCAACCATCATGCCATACGCTGAGACAAGTGAGGACTCTTGACGGCGGTACGCAATGAGGCGTGATCTGTATAGATTAAACACATCTTCTTCCGAGCAAATATACTCTGAGCTTGATTAGCGCGTAGCTCATAGCCAAAATCTCCTTGTCGTGTACCGGATATTTTTTCTTTGCGGGTTTCATCTGTCGTGATTGAAAACTCACGACGCGCTCTAGACCCTCGTCATCAAATTGCATGAGGTCACATTCTAAAGCGAAATTTCTCGCGTCACGTGCGACATGGAATGGCTTGGAGTCGTCAGGTAACATCAGCAGTGGCGCCTCGGACAAGTCCTTTCCACGGAGTCGAAGGCAGATTGATGTTCTGCGTTTCTAAAGCAAAGTCACTAATGGATGGACTAACTCAGCATAATTCTTCGTATTCTTATGCAAGTAATTCGCCAGACCGATCCACTGGCGTAATTCAGCTTCGGTCCTGGGCGTTGGCTAGGAACAGACCGATGAGATCTTCTCAGGATCAGTGCGGACATCTTTCTTGCTGACGTAGCATCCGAGTACTGGGATCTCGGGGGCACAGAAGACACATTTCTCAAATTTGCATACAATTTATTCTCGCGCATAACTTGAAACACCTACTTCAAGTGTCGAAGGTGTACCTCCGTAGCGCTGAGATTTTGCTCAGCGCAGCTGTGAACAAAAATGTCATCAAAGTAGCTCGGTGCAAAATCGCGAAGTGGGACGAAGTACTTGTGTCACCATTCGATTGAACGTACCTGGAGCGTTCTTAAGACCTTTTGGCATGACTAAACACTCCCAAAGCATTCCGCTTGGGGTTCTGACCGCAGTGAACAGAATGTCACTGTCTCTCATGAGGATCTGATAGAAACCGTCTGTCATAACTATGGCGCTGCAAATCTCGCTCCCGGACATGGTATCTAATACCATGTCTTTTCGAGGGATAGGCGTTTGAGCCGGATCGTGGCGTCATTCAGCTTGTTGAAGGCGTGCACAATGCGCCAACTGCCGATGGCTTTCTTCACACAGAAAGTCGGGCTCGAATGTCTCGCGAACATGGCCAGCCTTACGGCGACCCTCAAAAATTTCATTAATGGCGATGACAGCTTTAACATCCTTTACTCACAAAAAATCACAAGGCGATTGTGCCAATGAGACGTGGCGCACAAATCTTTTCCCCATACAAAAACCAGACTTGAGGTCTTCGTAAAGTTCTCTACCGTCATAAGGTCGCATCATAAGTAAATTCTTACTTGCGTATGAGTATCTGGCTTTAAATCGTTTCCCTTGTGCTTGGTCATTCAAGCACTGATCTTGTCCTTGCGTATGTCCATGCACACATATTAGAGGCTTCATACCGTGAAAAGCTTGACCTTGGGCAATATGAAACTCGTTTCCATGCCTTGGTCTTCTATATCCAGCCACTTTATATCTAAAATATATTGACGATTCACCGGAGTCGTAAGCGGCGACTGGACGACCCATTTAAGCTATCCATATATGCATATTTGTTCCCTTTAGCAAGGGCCGATGCAAATAAACTTGAATTGATGGGTGGAGTCATGGGCGTATCCATGTTCCTTCCAGTCCATCTTTGTTATTCACTAGCTTCGCCTACGACTCCTCGAGCTGTCCAGCCGCCCAGCCATTCCTCCAATGAGGACCAGGAGCTCTGACGCATCATTCCTCCTGGTGTTGGTACCGCCCACCGCATGGACGTTCCCGGGGTTGCCCTTCGCCTTTACATCTTTGTTTCTACCGGTCCCTCCATGACCGGTGGCGGGAGTTGCCGCGCATGCACGCCGTCGCGTGCAGTGCCTTCGTGTGGTGCCTCCATTGGGCTATAAGCTGTCATAAGTTGAACAGAAAGTAACAACAATAGCACACACAATGTAGATGTAAAAGAAAGAGTGACATTTTTTTCGTTATCCTTTAGCTAGCTTAAGGTCTATATGATAGGATAAATCATATTACGAAACCCTAAACAGGTGTTCAACGTAAACATGATTATCCACAATCAATCTGTACCAGATTACTAAATCATCATCGTGAAGCTTGCTTATTAATGATAATAAACCTCTAAAACAATGCGGAGTTTAAACATCTGACCTGAAAAACTTTCGACCAATGTACTGATATAAATGATATCAGAACATGAATACGATAAGATTTATTGCCCTACTCTATAGACTACCGGTATTCGTTGCGATGTCTAATTCATACGAGTTATGTGTCATACATAATGCTGCATCTGCATCGATGCATCGGTCGTCAATCTCTGCGAGGCTTTTGCCCCCAATTGGCGTATCAATACTCCAACACCACTCAAACTTTTATCACTACACCCATATTCTACGTAAACGCCGCGCCTCATATTGGTCATGTACATTCGGCCGTGCTGGCGGATGCGCTTTCTCGCTGGTACAAAGTCAAGAAGAAAAACGTGTTGTTTACAACGGGCACAGATGAGCATGGACTGAAGGTACAAGAGGCTGCTGAGAAGAGTGGGACGACAGATTATAAGGCCTTTTGTGACGACGTCTCGTCACGCTTTAACGAGGTTTTTAAGAACGCCAATGTGGATTACTCAAGTTTTATCCGGACGAGCGATGAAAATCATCATTTTGCAGTGGCCACCTTTTGGAAAACGATTCGAGACAATGGATACATTTATTTAGGCAATCATGAGTCGTGGTATTGCAAGTCTGATGAGAGTTTCTTGACAGACATGCAAGTGGAGGACAAGACAGATGTCGATGGGACCGTGATCAAGGTGTCCAAGGAGAGTGGACATTTGGTCGAGATGCTGTGTGAAGAGAACTATAAGTTTCGACTTTCAGTTTTTCAGAATCAGCTGCTGCAGTGGCTGGATGAGAATCCAGACGTAATTGTGCCCAAGGCGAGGTACAATGAGGTGCGGGCGGCTGTCACAGCAGGACTGCGAGACTTGTCAGTCTCAAGACTAAGCGACAAGATCAAGTGGGCAATCAAAGCTCCAGGTAATTGAGATTGTTGTATTGGTTGGAGGGTCAGTACGACCGGATGATGGTATTTGTGCATGTGGCTCTTTGCAGACGACGACAGGCACTGTGTTTATGTGTGGCTAGATGCGCTGACGAACTATCTGACGAGTTCTGGATACCCGGGCAATATCGATCGGGCGTGGCCTGCCGACTACCACATTGTAGGTAAAGATATCCTCAAGTTCCACGCTATTTACTGGCCAGCATTCCTCATGGCCGCAGGACTCCCACTGCCGAAGAAAGTGGTGGCTCACGCACACTGGACGGTTGGAAACGTTAAAATGTCAAAAAGTCTTGGTAATGTGGTAGATCCGCGTGAGATGCTGTCCAAGTACGGATCAGACTTCGTTCGGTTCTTTTTGCTGCGTGAGGGAGTGCTTACGAACGACGGAGACTTTAACGCTGACACGCTCGTGGATCAGGTGAATAGTGAACTTGCTGACACGCTTGGAAATCTCGTTTCTCGCAGCACTGGAAAATCGGTACTTGTAAAGGGCATCATGCCGAAACGTCCTCAGCTCGACCATCTTACAGCCGAGGACAAAGAACTCGTGATAAAGGGACAGGCTCTTGCTGGCAAGGTCGAGAAGCTCTTTGATATTCCTGATGTACGTGCTATAATGTTTCATTGCTGGTTGGTAAAACTATCTCAAAATTCTAGCTAACTATTTTCATAATGTATATGTCCAGTTCGCGCGAGGTTTAGAAGAAGTTGTGTTTTTTCTTCACGACGTCAATCGGTATTTTGCATTTGCTCTTGTGATGTCGTTTCGAAGCACGCTAACTATCTAACGACTACTAGGTATTTCACCATCATGGAGCCCTGGGTTCTATCGAAGACCCTAAAGAAGTCCGAAGACGTGACGTCAGACGAGTATCAAGCGACACAAGCACGTTTGGACACTGTGCTGTATCTTGCTATTGATGCAGCACGCGTAAGTGGTAAGTACTCGTACTGCATTTGTTATTCCACACTTAATTGATGCTTACAGTTTAGTTTGCGTGTTGTTTGCAGCAATATTGTTGCAGCCTGTCGTGCCAATTGCTGCAACAAAGATTTTGGACTATCTCGCCGTGCCAGAAGACAAGCGCTCTTTGACTGAAGCAACTCTTCTCTGCAATGACGACCAAGTAATGGGTGATGCACTTAACAATGCAAACTCATTCGTACCATTCTCCAAGATACACAAGCAGCGAGTCAATTAGCCAGCTTTCTCGGGACCATAGAAACGGTTGTGAATGAATAGACCGCCGAAAAGAAGCATCAAGTCTTTAGATATGACAAATGGGTATTAGGGGGCAAAGGTGAAAATAAGCCCCATACTATTTCTTCTTCTCCGGCATGAGCGACCTGCTTGACTAAAACATTATTCCATTTCCACTTGTCAAAAGACCTGCAACTGAAGCCCGTTACTTCTTCGCCGCGAGGTAACGTTCCTCCACGTTCTTCCAGTTGACCACATCCCAAATGGCATTGAGGTAGTCCGGACGCACGTTCTTGTACTGCAGATAGTAGGCGTGTTCCCACACATCAATGCCCAGCAGCGGTACATAGCCCGTCGTGATGCACGCGTCTTGATTGGGCGTCGTAACGACGCCCACGCGCTTAGACTCAGGCGAGAAACCCAACCAGCCCCAACCCGAGCCCTGCACAGCCACTGACTTAGCTGCCATTGTCTTTTTGAAAGCATCGAAGCTTCCAAACTCCAGGTCAATGGCCTTGCGCAGCTCGCCCTCGGGCTCACCATTTCCACCTTGATTGGAAGGTGCCAAATTAGTCCAAAAGATAGAATGATTGACATGACCACCGCCATTGAACTTGATTGCCGACTGTAAGCTCAGCATCTTGGCATGATCATTCTTGATCTCGGCTTCTGCGTATTGCTCCCGTGCTGCATTGAAATTAGTCACGTATGTCTGATGGTGCTTTTGGTGGTGAATTTCCATGATTTGACCAGAGATTGCCGGTTCCAATGCACCAAAATCATAGGAAAGGTCCGGCAATTTGACGGTTGAGAGAGAACGCGAGCTGAATACGCGGACGGACGGAGAGAAACGAGAGGCCAACATAATGGAGATGTCTAACTGTGGGGTTCTTAGCTACGATCCAAAAGCTCAAATGATGTATGAGACGAGGAGCGGATGGGAGGGGCGACATATGTGTTTTGTGTACGGATGGAGTGTCCGACCTCATCCGATAAGTATTACCGGTTATAGGGAGAGTCGATACTGGTAGTAGTGCTAATTTATTCTACCTCACGGGATGATACTCTACAAAATTTAAAGGTAATAATTAAGTGGTGGGCTGGTGCCTCTTTATAATGACGCTAGTTCTTTGCATTTCTGTAAGAGTATAGTCAATGAAATGTCAGTCACTGACGGACAACTAAGTTAAGACCCACCGTCCTATGTTTATTATCGTATCGCCATTTTTTACGTCGCCATGTCAGTACTGTCGGTAAACCTTAGCGCGTCTATGATAAGATTTTCCATGATTAGATTAGCTCCATTTCTCCCGTCAATCACACGCTTTCGCTTTCGCATGACACATTCCGTCTCTAATGCGAGTAGACGTTTAGTAGGTTATTTCTTTTTCCAAATTGGTGGGCACCTTGGTCGCTTGCATGCTCGTATCTGGCGGTAACAACTCACACAACCTTCGAGAGGTAAAACTCACATCACAATTACGTAGCCTCTTGCTCGCACACGTTGCAGTTGCTTGTGCAAGTAAAGTAAGGAGCCCAGTATATGTCACACCAGCAAGAAATCGCTCTTGTAGAACGTTGTCGTCATCACTGAGTTTGCGAGCTTCGAATTGTTATCACACCGAGACAAATCCGAGACGAATTCGAAGATGACATTGACAGACAGGAAATCATCACGTCAAGGGTCTTTTGATTGGAACTAGATATCAACGGGACCCTGCAGTCTTGAGGAAAAGCATCTCTTTGTCGGACTCATCTGTTCGAACGGACACGTGTTGTAGTGCCTATCTTACGTGTCGACATTGCGTCATCAACACTTTCCAATCTCCTTGAACCTGCCGTGAAAAAACAGCACAAACATATTGACTCCTCGCAAAATAAAAGCGACAATGTCCAAGACTGTCACGCTCTTGTTTGCCCATGGAGGAGGTTTCTGCAAGGAAACATGGGAGCCTATAATACGCCGTTTGAAAGGGTCCTCGGTACTGCAGGCAGTGGACACGCAGTTTGTGTGCTTTGATTTCAAGTATCACGGAAGCAATCGGGACGAGTCAGTGGCTGCTACAATTGATTTAGAACACCCTGCTGGACCGAGAGTACACCATCCAGCTGTCGACTTGACTGCGTGGACGTCGGCGCAGGTCTTGCAACAAGCTCGCGAACTACAAAGCGCCAGCGTCGACACCCCGTTGATTGGAATCGGCCATTCTATGGGAGCTTCGGCCCTGTGGAACGTCGAAACACAGTACCCTGGTACTTTCGCCGGTCTCATCTTGTTTGAACCAGTATATGGCAATCCGAATTCGGGTTTCATGACCAATTCCGACGCCATCAAAGGCTTTCTCGTGTCCATTACGTTGCAACGCGAGTCTTCGTGGTAAGGAGCAGGGGGATCGAAATCGTTTTCTCGTCATTTACAGATTGTGTGCTAATGTTCGTTCTTGCAGGCCATCAAGAGCAGCGGCAGAAGAGCATTTGCGCAATTACAAGAACTTTGCAGCTTGGGATCGCGAGTCGTTGGAAGCTTATATAAAGGGTGCCCTTGTGGAAAACAAGGTCACGAACAAGACGGTGCTAGCGTGTAGCCCTCCAGTTGAGGCCTCTCTCTACTGTCACAAGCTAATGCACCTGAACGATCACGATCTGATGCAACCCAAGTGCAAGATTTTTTTCCATCATGGCACTCGCACCAAGATCTTCTTCCCCTCGATTTTCAAAGAGATTAGCGACAAATGGCCACACATTTACACGATGGAAAATCCTATTGCAAACTCGTCGCATGTAATGGTTTTGGAAAAGCCTGCTGAATCGGCACAGAAGATCCTCAACAATTTGCAACAACTCGAGCCATTTCATCAAGAGACCGTATCAGACGAAGAAAGTCATGCTCGACTCTAGGTCTTGAGAGATCTCTACCTTTGAAATGTAGCTACTCGAAGTTGAAGTTGAACACTCTCCAATTGCATATATACCTACATCCCTCTATAATTCCATGCCTATGTTTACGTGGTACACACTATTCTGTACTAGACCATAACATGTAGCCATTTTTACAAACAACAATAATGGAAGCTCTACTTGCAAATGCAGTGACGCTACGCTCGTTCTTACAAAGGTGAGACCAATTATTATTATTATATCAATACCTCTATTGTATTAATCTGTGTACGTACCATATACTTAATTTTATTTAGTGCAGCTGAGGATCTCAAGGTTAATGGAGACGTCACTCTTGCACAAAACCTCTTGCGTGTGACAAACCAAGACATCGCGTTTGCTTTGGACCATACATTTCTCATTCATGCAGTTCCAGCCAAAGAAAAATCATTTCCTCGATCTCCATGGAATTGTAAAAGATGTTTATCACATGTAGGATAATATTTAAATTGTAGTAAAATGTAGAATTGAGTAGAATAGTATTCACACAAGTGGTGATTCCTAAAAAACAGACCGAGTTGATCCATCATGTCATTGAACGGCTTCTAGTACGCAAACGATCAATGAATTGGGAAGATGCAAATATTTTGACATTTGGGTATCGAGAAGTGACACCGGATGCTGCAGGGCATCAAGTGATGCAGTCAAATGGAATCATGTGCTATTATCCGAATACACTGGTGGCTGCGTTGAAAAAGCCGCTTTGGGAGTTTCTGCATGAGATAATTGGAGACGATCTCATGATGCACCTGCTCCTCAATTACACCATTTTTGTACAATTGAAGGAAGCTTCGGACTCGTACATGCAGGTAATGGTGCCGTACACAGAAGGAGTCGAGGAAGTACAAACTAATGACCTTGTGTGTCTGCATGTATGCGATTTTTTCGACCAGGTTGCTGGAAAAAGTCTGCGTCAACAAACACGTCATGCTCCGGATTCTGCTGTTGGCAACGCTAACCGAGAAGTGTCGATTAACCGTGTAATGTATGCACGTTTCTTCCGAAAGGATCGCGTGTTTACGACCTCGCATATTTTGGTCAAGGCATCCAAGAATGGTGATCCGATCAGTCGAACTGAAGCTTCTCGAGTACTTCGATCGATTTTTGCCGATGCTGCAGGGCAAAAACGATTACCGAAGCGGTTGATTAATTTGATTCCAACAATACAAGCTATGGTATCGCGATTCAAAGCTTGTCGGATTGAAGAGCTCGCGACGAAGCTGATACCACTGAATCGTAAATTCCGCAAGTTTATGGCGGATAACCCAAGCATCAAATGTAAAGTTGCTGACAGGACTACTGAAGCATCAGCATCTTCGCAACCCATCCTTTTGCCAATCGTACGCAAAGTGCTAGATGATGGCTACTTGAGCCAGAGTGAAGTTGTGGCACCCAGTTCCGACCGCAAACGAAAACGAAGAGAAGAAGCGATTGAAATGCTGTCACATGCTTCAGCCAGTTTACCGAAATGGGAAAAAGGTGAATTCCCGCGCACTGAAAAGAAGCAGAAAAGCACAGATGCCAACAATGGAAGCGAGTACGATGCTCACGAGCCCACAGATGTGACAGAGTTGCAACAACACAGGGATGATATTCTGCAATTGCTGGCATTTTTGACGCCTAAACGGAAGATATATCAGCTAGTCCGCAAGTTCGTTGCTCGAGTTGTACCGAAAGAAGTGTGGGGCAGCAGCGACACAAAAAAGAACTGGAAGTGTGTGAAGATGATGCTACGCAAACTCATTTTTTCTCGGAAGTTCGATATCTTCTCGCTAAAGAAGGTGAGCATTTTGTGTCGTACAAGGATCAATAATAATGGTTGTTAATAAGGTGCCTTTTGTGCAGTGTGCGAGTGAGTTTCAGGTGATCGAGGTGGAATGGATGAAAGCGAAAAATACTGCAACGTTCTGGTATTATGCTCGTATTGACTAGGCCTGAAAGCACTCTTGCTAAATTGCTACTTCTGTGTCTTGTGTTGTTTTAGCCCACCAAACGAACGTGTCAAGCGTCAGAAGCTCTTCGAGGACTTGCTATGGTGGGTGATGTCATTGCTGGTCTTTCCATTATTGCGGAACTTGTTTTATATTACAGAAGCCGAAGGAATGGCAAACGAGATAGTGTACTACCAGCGCCCGGTCTGGAATGTGATCAGGTAAGCATGTGATAATACTATTTGCACTGCGATATTCGAGCAAATGTCTAATGATACTGCAGCACGCTTGCTCTCGAGGACTTGGAACGGAAAATTCTGCAACCTTTGGATAATCAAATTACATCAAGCAACCACGAACAACGCCTGCTAGCAACGTCTCGACTAAGGTTGTTACCAAAAGCTACTGGAGTTCGGCTACTGATGAATCTGTCCACGGCCGTGGATCGAACCAAGGTCTCAGTGAACAGATCCATGGAATCTGTTCATCGAGTACTAACGTTCGAGATGGAGCGACAACCAAAGCGGCTTCTTGGAGCATCAGTTCGAAGTATCGACGAGATCTACAAACGTCTTAAGCCTCTATTTCGTCGGATTTCCTCCTGTCCTCGTTGTACAGAGCGACAGCGTGCTTCTGGAAGAGATGATCCAATGGCTTACTGCGTGACTGTAGATGTTGAGCGCTGCTTCGATTCCATTCGACCGCGGAAGCTTTACCAAATTCTCAAGAAAGCAATGAAAGAAGATGAGTACCTTATTCGCAAGCATTGGGTTGGTCATCAAGTCGCCCCGATCTCATCGTCTACCGATGGTGGTACATTACTCCCACAGTCTTCGTTTTTCTTCAAGCTGGAGCGTCCAGCATATCCGTCTGGCGAATTTCTTGGTTTTGACGAGCTTGCAGCGCAGTCTTTGAAGAAGAACTCGATGTATGTCGATGGGGTTCTTTATGACTACCTCACAAAAACAAAAGCTCTTCGATTATTGAAAGAACATTTGTCGGCAAATACCATCGAGATTGACGGCCACGACTACGTTCAGCAATGTGGTATCCCGCAAGGTTCTGTGCTTTCCACGACATTGTGTAACATGTATTATGCTCATTTTGAGCGGCGGGTACTTCGCAAGCATTTGCCGGAAATATGCGATCCAGCCATTGTGCCTGTGTCGTGCTGTCAACACGAAGATCTGTTTCGCTACACTGATGATTTCATGTACATTACAACAGACGTGAAGAGGGCACGGAGGTTTTTTGAGGTGATGCACGCAGGCAATAAAGAATATGGATGTTTTGTAAATCTGTCCAAGAGTCAAGCAAATTTTGAGATGGATACAGGAATAGACCAGCCTATGGAGTCTGCAATGTCTCGTAACATATCGTGGTGTGGCATGCTGATAGATCCCAGCAACCTTCAGATCTACGTAAACTACGAAAAGTAAGTGCCGCAAAAGTCGATTGATATGAGCACTTACCTCCTAACATGGTTTATGTTGTGCAGATTGAGCAGCTTATTGCTTCACGGCTCGATTCCATTCAACGAGACAAAAGCAGCACGGAGTTTCTTCGTCAACAAAGTGGTATCGCCAATTCGTCAGCGATGGCATGCGCTGTACTTTGATCCCGAGTTGCTTTCAGAAGACACAATCCACGTCAATCTGTTCCAAATGCTGGTCGTGGCAGCACATCGATTTATAGTCCTCGTCGAGATGTTACCGTTCGTAAACCGTGACATGCATTTTTTTCACGAATGCATCCATCAAATTCTTCAGAAAATGGTCAAGGGTATACGCCGCAGCCTGGAGCTCGACTTAGCTGGATTCAACTCGCAAAAAACTTCCAGTTCTTACTCAGCTCAGAAGTGCCACGTACGTTCAACGCTTAATATTTCATCTACTTATAAACGATTAACGCTGCGCACATAGGTCTGGGCAATAGGTCTCCATGTATTTCAGCTCACCATCCATGCCAAACTGAATCAAATCGATGCAAAGCAGCACCAATTCCCGGGCGCAGATTGGCAGCAACTGCTGGACGCCGTACGATCTGAGCAGATGGAATTCAAGCAGCGAGTGAAGAAGAACCAGGGTACATCTTACGACTTCAACTGGCTATTGCATGATTATCGCAATGCGTCCGTGCTGAAGCAGTTCTTGCAACTTGGAGCGGACAGCCTGTGAATCACAGGCTATGAGCGACATATTGTCCAATTTTCACCATGATAAAGTTGGTGCAGGCTGATAGTGAGCTGAGGAACTTTGCCTGCATCACACAACACAACTTTGCGCTCTTCCTTTCATGTCGCGCGGAGACCCGACTACAAGCAATGAGCCGAAGATTTGCTGATTTGTTTGGCTGTCACCGAGACAATCGCAATCCAGTGTTGCGAGGAACGATACGGAAACACCTCGTCTGACAGCATATTGTAAATGAGTGAACGTCGAGCGTGCAACAATGGCTCTGGTCCTAGACGTCTCCTGTTGCGAAAATCAACAAGGATTTCAATTGACGATAGTGCAGCGTCAGGGAGGAGAAGCCATTGTTATTCGTTTGTTGGCAACGAGCGATAAACACTTGTCCGTCTGGAACGTTTCCAGCGCCGTTGCAGTTAAGGTGCGCAGCTGCTACCATCAGTGAACGCGTCAGCGTATTGGATTCGACTCGGATCGTGAATGGATGAATCGATCCACTACGATTGGACTCTGACATATGTGATCGTGTTGGCAATGGCCACGGCCACAACGGGCTTGACGCTGCTGCTCTCGTTCAAGCACATTAAAGTGGGCGACTCAGCCATACAATACATCACCTATTCGGTCTGCCGCATGTACTTCATCTACTCGCTCGTACGACTGTTACTTTACGTGGGGGTGCTAGCCAATTTTAACGGATTACGAGACACGCTGGATGCACTTGGTGATGGCAAACTCATGAGAGCCCGGGTGGTCTATTCCAGCACGAAGGAGTTCACAGCCGTAGCTGTCAGTGTCGCTTTGATCGGAGACTGCGCTCTGCTGTGCACTACATTTTTCATCATGATGCTAGCTTACGAGTTGAAACGCCTCATCATTAAAACCATGGACCGCGGCCCGAAGCGTGAGCGCGCTATCATTCGACAGTACTGTATTCGCGCATACATCACGGCAATGATATTTGCTATTGCTATGGTAGTCTCAGCGTTCTTGCTGTCTCCGTCTGACAAGTCAGAAGTTGCGCAGACGGCTGCCTTTTGGTTCGAGATGGCGTGTGTTTGGTCATCGGTGCTGTACCCGACGTACGTCACAATATGGATATCACGTCAAAAGCGCACAAGAATTGCCGTAAGCCCAGCTTCGCTGTTACTACACCATCGCATTAAGACTTTCGTAACAGTGTACTGCGCTTTCGTGTTCCCGTCCTGCGTTGTAGAAGTATTTGGTCGTCTCGTAGACGATGTCAAGATGGAGTGGGTGGGTGTGACCCAGATCCTCTACTACTTCTCTGGTGCAGGCGCAGCGTTTGCAATTGGTACTAGTGCCACTTGCTGCTATCGCGCACTACGTCCTCTCATGCCATCTTATGTCCACGAGCAGCTTGTCGAAGGTGGATTTTTCCAAGATGAACAAGGGCTAGACACCATGGACGTAATCGTGGAAGCACCTACCCGACGACCGATCTTTGTAGTCACGGATATTGAAGGTTCGAGTCAACTCTGGGCTGCCATTTCGCAGTCAATGGCTGAGGCGCAGTCGATCCACGATGACTTGCTACGACAACAACTACCTTGCTTCCGCGGCTACGAGATCACGACTGCGGGTGATTCTTTCCAGCTCGCGTTCCATTGTGTCGGTGATGCCATTGGGTGGTGTATTAGCGTTCAAGAAAAGTTATTGAAGGCCCTGTGGCCCGCTCCACTGCTTGAATGCGACAATGCAGCGCGCGTTTACGACAAGTGGACGCGACTTCTGTTTAATGGACTTCGGGTCCGCATGGCCATTCACGACGGTGATGAACGTTTGGTGTGCTCGAGGCACCCAACCACAGGCAAAATGACCTATCTAGGTCTCAGCGAAATGATGGTGCGTGATATGAGCGCGATGGGGCAAGGTGGCCAGATCGTCATTAGTGAATCTGCTCTTGCCATTTACAAGGACGAACTACTGAAGACACCTTCGAGCGTGGTTGGAACCAAAGCCAAAAAGTTCCGATTGAAACCATTTCGAACGTTTGACCAGCCGGAATGGAACATTTCACTCCCAATGTACGAGATCGTGTCGACTCGGATCGGAGACCGTTTCAATTTTCAAACAAATAATCGACACCGAGAGCGATTGCAATTCCTGTTGCCCTTTTGGAGCAACGAATCGTCTACACGTGATGCAGACAGGACAACAGATGTTAAAACTGAAGATTCAGTGTAGAAATCGGACAGAAGACGTGACATACATTGGTAAAGGACCTACAGCGTGCGCAAGATTGCGCTGTTTATGTACATTATATACTAAAATCCAAGCAAACCCTATCCCCGATGTCTGACTCGAATAAGGTATTGTTCGTTTTTTGTGCAATCATGACCACATGATACCAGTTGCATGTCTTCCGACTGAAGCGATACATATTGAATCAATTCCGTTGAGATACGGGATTAATGCGTCGTCGAGACAACGAGGTATTGGCACAGGTACGTCCCCAACGTTCTTTGCGTCTCCGTTACAGCTATAGTCAATGCAGCAATCGCAGTCGCAGTGGCAGCGTCGAGAGTGATGTGCGTTGGTCAGAACGCACGTCCAGCATTGCTAGTGAATTTGATGGCTCAGAACTTTCGGACGTGGACGATTTGCAGCTCTTCCAGCAAGAGACGGCAGAAGGATGCGAAACGGTGCGTGTCACGGTTCGGTTTCGTCCTTTACTGTCTAAAGAGAAGAACAGTCGGTCTGCTTGGAATGTTCATACTTCGACTGGAACTGTTGAAGCTGCATTACCGAATGCTCGACGTCGTGGGGTCTATGTTTTTGATGAGGTATACGACACGGAACACTCGACTCGAACTATCTATGACGGACTTGCTAGGTCCATTGCTCGCTCGGCGCTGGATGGCATCCATGGGTCCATTTTTGCTTATGGACAGACGAGTAGTGGCAAAACGTACACGATGCAAGGGTCCGGACAGCGCATCAAGAGGATGACGTTGGTACAGGAGAACAAAGTAGAGACGGAGGAGGAAAGAAGACCGGAAAACGACGATGGACTCGTACAATTGGCAGTGAAAGATCTGTTTGATGAGATGGCGAGACGAAAGGATGTCGAGTATCTCGTCCGGGTCTCGTACTTGGAAGTGTACAATGAGACGGTCAAGGATCTACTAGCGAGTAACTCGACGGAAGGCAAGAGGAAAGACTCGATTGTGCATATTCGAGAACATCCTGTGACTGGAGTGTTTACGGATAACTCGGAACGAGTAGTGACGGATGTGAGAGGAGTGTTGCTAGCTCTACGTGATGGCGAGAAACACCGATCGGTGGGAATAACTCGCATGAACGAACGCAGTAGTCGATCGCACTCGATTTTCCGACTGGTCATTGAGTCGAAGACACGTCTTGATTCATCTGTACTGACTGAAGATGATGCAGGTGTAGATTGTGTACGTGTGGGTTGTCTGAACTTTGTGGACTTGGCCGGATCTGAAAGTGCTCGAGCAGTTAGCTCGGGTGGCACTAAGCTCAAGACAGAGAGTGGCAACATCAATAGGAGCTTATTGGCGCTATCGAGAGTTGTTGTAGCGCTCGGCAGCAGCAAGTTGCTGAACGGGCAAGATCATATTAATTTCCGTGACAGCAAACTTACACGTATATTGCAACCGTCGCTGAGTGGTGCGGCGCGTGTGCTGTTTGTTTGCTGTGCATCTCCTGCACCTGCTTATATAGAGGATACTCGCAGTACACTAAAGTTTGCTAGCCGTGCCAACCGAATCAAGGTGAACGCATCAGTCAATGAAGTCGTGGACCAACGTACTCGTGCGCTGATGGAGCTTGCTCGAGAGAACCAACTTTTGCGCCAGCAGATGGAAGCTTTGGCGTCTGCAAGTCGAGATGAAATCGACGCCGTGGAAGAGCACGTAGTTCGTCTGCGTCTACGAGTTGTCTCGCTAGAAGCTGCTGCAGCTGCTCCGGCATGGACGTCTTCTGTGGTAATAGCACCAGATGTGGACACTACGCAGAAACGTCGACAAGATAGGCAGCCAGAAGTTACGGGTCTTGAAAGAGTGAGCTCTCCAATTGACATGGACAACAAAGTGTTGCAAAAGAGTCTATCAGACGAAGAGGACACAGATGTCGGTAGTCAATTAGACTTACCAACGGGGCTGCCACTTTTAGTGGCCAATACGGCGTGCCCAACATGTGAAACACTGGATGATGCTTTGGAGATTGCTAAGATGCGTGAAATACAATCTTCTCTACGTATCGAGCAGTTTAAAGAGCTCAATGCTCAATTGCAGCGTCAGCACCAAGAAACTAGCAGTAGCAGCGCTGGTGTTATTAGAATCAATTCACCAGCAAAAGATGATTTGGTTTGTGAATTACAGTGTGTGCTTGACGTTGCGGATGAAGAAGCAGACGACGCTACGAAGGCGCTATCCAGCAGTGAAGAAGGTGATGCCCGCATCATCGCACACGTTAGCAGTCTCAGCTTGGCAAGTGCAGCATTACTGGCTCTGGTGGTGGATGTTTTGAAAAAGCGCAGTCCTGCTGAGGCTTTAGCACTTGTGGTAATTGTGTTTGCGTGTACGGCAATCACGTTGGTCAGTTTTGCATGGAATATTATCGCGGCAGCAACACGTTGACATTTCTTGTCATTGTGTTGTTGCCGCAATGAATTTTCATGCAAAACTTATTCTTGGTACGCTTTAAACTTTATTTTCTATTTTGTTTAAAGGGAAGTTGGGGTCACAAAACGGTGTGGAATACTGACGCTCCTATCAATGTATTGACTTTTTTGTGTAGTCATGCGATGGAATCATGGGCCTAGTGACATCCACGGTTCTATTGGAGTTTATAGAGTAATTATACAGAGCTCCCTCCGTTAAGGTTTGGGGTACGGTGGACAGTGATACCCAAAACTTAACGGAGGTTACACATTATCGGATCATGTGTATTTTACATAAGAGAACTTAAATAATAAAAAGAAACCAACCCCAAGGTTCACACTGCTAAAAAGAACATAAGTCCTTGACTCCTTTGTTAGTTGGACCTGGCCCAAAGGTATGGAATATGTCGTAAACTTGTATTTTCTGTGCTATTCGTGAAAGCTATATGTAAATCTACAGTGTACAACAATGTTTTGCCTACCCAGATAGTAAATGACGTCGAAAAGCTGGAGGAGGAGCTGAGTGACCATCTAGAGCAGCTGCGTGTCCGGGATCTAATGACGATTTCGGAGCTTCACAATTCTATCTTAGAGGATAAGACTGCTCAGCCGGAGCTGACCGAGAACGAGATTCTGGAAAAAGTAAAAGCTAGAATTTTTATTAATCATGATTCCGTGTTATGCTTGGCTATCTTTGCTATCCTTTTTCTTCTATGCATCCCTATCTACGCTAGTTGCCCTATCGTTCCTGCTCTCGAAAGGCACAGAAGGAGGGAGAATATAGTGGAAATGTGGTGCTTGTCGCAGACAAGTTCACCAGAATTGAAAAGACCATTTTCCTTCGTGATACCTGGTCCGTGCTCGATGTATTCCAGTCCTCAATCCGCTTATAGAGTCCTCCCGCGACCTTCAGCTCGAATTTTCGCAACGCATCCATACCTTAACTACTTTTGACGTAAGGTTTAAGTAGGTTTTCTCGTTTAAAATACAAGAAAAATACACATTTTATAAAGTTATATTGCCCTGCCTGGCTTTAACTTATAACTTATAACTTAGCGACCATAAAACGAGCTCAGTGGGCACGAAATTTGATAACCTACCGGAGGTTATAGCTTAAAGAGGATAACTTATTGGAGGGCGGTCTGAGTTTGGTTTGCAGGCGACAGAAAAGACGGAAGGTAAGCACATCTTGTGCTAAAATCGTGCAGGAGCAAGGAGCGGCTGCAACTCAGGGTGTTGGTAGGTAGGACGCACATGATGGAAATAATAAAACTCACTATTCAAAACCACTTCTTTGGCAAACTTCCCACCTTAAAGTTCAATAATTACATTCATTATTCACCCGTGACACACAAGATGCTAAGGAGAGTTCTTCATTGTGACAAATGGCAACGCCTCATGGTGTTAATTCCGCACAACGGTCAACTACCTCGCTCCGTTTTTTCTCGATCAATGGTTCGTACACATGATCGCTTCTTGTTTTGAATTCCTACCTCATGCTAACTACTTTTTTTCCAGTCTTCTACATCTACTGAGGTACTGAAAGAGCTCATCGCTCATGCTACACATCGAGATGTTCGTCCTACAGAAGATTGTCAATCAGTTGATCGAGTTCCCGACGTCCATGTGACGGCTGTAGTTCATCCAAATGCAGAGCTGGGGCCGAATGTGCTCGTTGGCCCTTATTCTGTCATTGGACCAAGTGTGTTTCAGTTGATATGTTTTTCGTGTTGTAGTTGGTTAAGAAATGGTTATGTCTTGAATGGGTTTGTAGATGTGGTGCTGGAAGCAAATGTTTGTCTACAAAGTCACGTGGTGATTGATGGCAAAACTCGTGTCGGGAATGGTACTCAGGTTCACTCCTTTGCAAGATTAGGTGGAGAACCACAGGACAAGAAACACCGGATAGTTGCAGAGCAAAAGGCAAAGGAGTGGACACTGACGATTGGCAGCAATTGTGTCATCCGCGAGCATGTGACGGCGCATAGCAGTACATCGTACTCACAACTACCAACATCCATTGGTGATGATTGCTGGCTGCTTTGTGGGGCACATGTGGCACATGATTCACAGTTGGGGAGACGTGTTGTAGTCTCAAACAATGTGTGTATTGCTGGTCATGTGTCTATTGGGGACGGAGCTATCATTGGTGGACTAGTTGGGCTTAAGCAGCATGTGAGTGTGGGTCCCCTAGCTATGGTAGGCGCACAGAGTGCAGTGGATGGTGACGTGCTACCGTACGGCTTGGTTGTGGGCAATCGCGCCAAGCTTGCAGGACTGAATCTCGTTGGCTTGCGTCGTGCCGGAGTGTCACAAAGCAATATCAAACTGATGCTGCAGGTGTACCGCTATATATTTGGCAGACATGACAGCCAGAAGACGGGGTTTGCGCCTTCACTCGAGTACGTCTATGTTTTTTCCTTGTGGACTCGGGCAAATCGATGGTATGTGCTAATGCGCTCTTTGCCCGCTACAGTTTGACTTATAGGGAAACAGTGGTTGAGCGTGCGATTGAGGCAAAACAGTTTTTGCTTGATGAAGGGCTGGACGCTGATCGAGGACCCATGGTACACGAGATGGTAACTTTTCATGAAATCGATTGGCATGGAGATACTGGATTATCTCGATGTTAAGTGCTTGTTTCTTCTGTCAATCTTGTAGATGGACTTTGTCCTGACTTCGCCACAGCGCTTCCGTTCGTCTTTGTGCCACGCGGTGATTGCCACTTCTTCACATTAGATTACTCCTTACATTACGTCTTGTATCGTGTTTCATTGGCAATAGCAAAACACCGATCGATTGACCTCGAGAACTGAGCTACACCCTACGTATGTGCTAACAATCCATCAAATGTTGTTAGTCAGCCCGAACTCCGAGCCAAGGACCTCGTATATGGAACAAAGATTGAAAGGGAACAACAGGCACCTAGACAATCTAATTAGAGCAATATTTGAGCTCTGCAATATGGCAAGCTGGGTACCTCCTAGTTTCGTTTAGTTGACAATTCCACATCGAGATCATTTCACACCGTCTTGGTCATTTGTCTAGTGCCATTTTGATGAAATATCCTGGAAAAACAATTAAATCACTCCTCTTGCGGGGCCGAAGCGTTTCGTAGCTCTTCGCAAATGCGACTTTGGAAGGCTGATGGTTGCAGATCGATGTGAGCGATGATAGTTACTCGTCCGTCGCGAAATAGCGGCTTGGCTCACTCGGACTACAACTGAGAAGCAGAACGTGATGCTTAATTATATACTTGTCCAATTGTTTCTCTATTCATCATCACAGAGAAGCTGCAACAGCTTTTCAGAGTCAGCGATTGTTCGTGTCAATCCAATGATTAAATTGCAACGAATCAAGTACGTGTCAGTGCAAGTGCATTTGACTGACGGTGGCTCCAAGTCGATGCAAGTAGCTTTATTTTCCGATCTCCGGAATGTAGCATCAAATTCTATAATCACCGAGTAGCCGATCGCTTCAATATTCTTCTCTTCGACGAGGACGACATCCAGGCATTGATTGAATAATGATACGTATTTGAGTATGCCCTGGGTACCATAATATGTTCCCCAGAAAGGCATCTCCTCGGGCACCTCGGACTTTAAAAAAAAGCTGGCAGATGTCATGAGCCCCAGCAAGTTGATATCGGGTACAACCAAATACAACCCACCACACTTTTTTGCTACGCTTTCAACCAATGTCGTATTGGCAGCTTCGTCAATGTCACTGAAGCTGTTACATGTCCGTGTCCTAGTAACTGCAGACTGCATCGACTCAAACCACCTTGTCCTCGACGCATGTGACAGTGTGACAAAAGTCAGAGTTTCATCTTCCTCTCGGTGGTTGTCGAATACCTCGATTTGAAAACCAAAAGCATCGCTGTTGTGTTCCTTTACGCCACGATGAAAAACAATCCATCTTCGAGCATTACACACCACCAATGTTTTGGGCCGTGACATCCATGCCTGCTTGCGTGCCATCAAGAATTGTTGGAAGAAAGACGCTTTTAGTGGAGAAAACGTTTTGGATACCCCCTTGCTCGGTGGTCGAGAGGTTGGAATGGAAGCATTCTGCAAAGTCAGTTGACAAGTAGACTTGTCAAACTTTAGGTACACCTTTACCCACTTAGAGCGCTTCTGGTAAACATACCCACTGACAAAGAAGTCATCTTCTTCAACATCAAATGATGTCGACTCATCTGACTGCAAAATATCGATAATTGTCTCTGGAAACTTGCTCCGTGATCGGCTCTGGAACATATCGCTGGGATGCACCGCTTCACTTTCGCGAGCCAGATTTTGTGACGATCCAAAACCTTCTTTCTCCATCGGAAGTCGTTGAAATGGTTCCAACTCTCGTGATAGGTACTCACTCGCAGAGGATGACGGCCGAGCAGGTAGGAAGCTTGTGTTAATGCCATCTTCGCTCGTGTTTCGTTTTTTCAGGTCTCCATTACGAGCCTCACCGCCGTCAACTTGCAAGCTAAGTAGTGAATCGCTTAACACGTCAATCTGCTGAGAATGAGTGGCGACGAGTGATGAAGCAAAATCATTCCAACCCTTCACATTGTTGCAGAATTGGCGAATAAGTTCCTGCTGAAGCGTGGGCGAGCTGCAAGTTTTCGCAATTTTTACTCCGATGATCGCCAAATGAGCGTCATAGATGTGAGCCGACGTGTTCGTGTCGAGCTTGTGTAAGATAAACTCCAAGATAGAATCAGGTGAATGGAAAATACTTCGCAGGAGTGGATTGTTTACACGCCCATTTGTAGACGATCGGTCCAATAGGTTCAAGTACAGCTTCACTAGTCGGCAATGCAGTATGCTGGCCGCGGGGAACTTATCAAAAATTTCCATCAGCGACGTTGCAATATCCAATCGAGTCAAACGGCTGTCAATGCGGTCGTTCGACATTAGTATAACAACATCCAGCAACTCCACCACATGCATAACAAGCAATGTTGATGCTAACGGACGATGGTTCACAATAGTCCTGCCGGACCTAGGCGAATAGCTGATTGCTGGAGGCGTTATTCCCATGAATAGTGTACTTTGAGCAGGTGAGGCATCACGTTTGGAAGGTATACTCGGGTTATCTTTTCCGCTTATATCAGCAAACAAAGTGAAGTCCTCTCCATCCTCGGTTTCGTCATTGTCGGAGTCACTGTCACTGAAACGGTCACGCGCAGCGAATTCTGATATCGTAGATAGATGCTGGTGGTAGTTGATAGACGCACAAATGGTGTCTAGAACGAGGTGAATCGGAGCGACGAATGCCTCTAGTTGCTCTGAATGATGCATAGAAAACTCGATGGCCTGGCGCAATACATCGATAAGAAGAACACTAGGAATACAAGCTCCATTCGTGTGGTGGGCATCTAAAAAACGTAGCTCTGCCATTCCAAGTTCAGCCAATCGAGCAAGAACAGTCGAATCTTCCGTCAGAGCGGCTAATACTGCGTACTTGAGCTTATAGTGCATGACAGGATCGCTTGGGGTCTTTTTCGGTGGAAAGAGTTCTCGCTCAAATGGCTCGACACTCTCAAATGACACGAGCTGAAGTTTCGTTTGTATGTAATACCGAAAGGTATTAGGAAATTCGTCTTTCAGGATTTTTGACAGGATTTCTGCACATCCAGTTATCCTTGAATGAACTGTAGATGTCGTATTTGAGGTACATAACGACGGGGACAGCGGCGTCGTCTTTGACGAGAATAATGGAGATGATGGTATTGTCAGTGTGCCCCCGATGGACAACCGAGGAGAAGCTGACGACGTAGACGACACCGTCGACGTTGATGACACAGAAGAGAGTGATCTTACTAGTCGAGTCGGCGCTTGCTCCACAATCCTCTCGACCAGACAGCGAATGATCCGAAAATACTCAAAACCACGACGGTTCGAAAGGTGTATCAACCCATGTAACAGCGCGGCAATGTCTGGATTGTATACATGTGCTGCTAGACGTGACAGCAACCACTCCTTCTCATCTGCTTCATTTTCGTCGCAAAGTAGCCTGAGAACCCCTGGAAAAATGACAAAATTCTTCGTAATCTTGCACATGTTAGCAACTAGAACGTTGTCAACTTCGACGTCATCATCACTATCCTCCCCTTTTTTTAGACCCTTAGAGATTGATTGTGGCCACAAAAACCGAAACAAACCTCCAAAAATTCGTTTCCACTCCTTTGATGTCAAATCTTCAAGCCGCAGCAAATATCCACGCGTACTTGGATCTTTCAGCAACTCTATATCCTCGTCACCACTCACACTAAAATCAGACATACTGCTTCCCGAGCTTTCAAATCTCATACTCGCTCGTAGACGTTGAATCCTCGCCATTTTTCTAGCTGAAGCATTGCTCCGAAAGTCCATCAAAGTGTTCATATTGGATCGAGTCGATGACACTATTTGTTCTATCAATGGATCACTTGGTTGTCTCCGAATTGTCTCGTGAGCTGTAGCCTTCTCCATGTCTTTATCTGTCACATTTGCACTATTCTCCATCGGATCTTGTTTAGGATCTCCATGCCACTTCATAACTTTTAAATAAAATCTAAGGATCATCTCCGTTGCCACGAAAGCTTGTCGATACTTCTCTGGGTTTTGCACATCTGCATCATGTTGCTCAGTTTCTCTACAACTTGAATCCATTTCACGGACCGATGTAGCATAGACAAAGACTTGTTTGATTGACTCTGGTCTCAATAATAGCTTCTGCAGTGGTGAAAAATGACCTCGTTCTCTCCGTTGCACGGTACTAAGCACAGTGTCCACATCGTAGCAGCTGCAAAAGACGTTATCGAGAGCTGACGCTTGTCGTAATGCCTCAGTATTGTGTAGAGCTTGAGAAGTTTTTAACGGGTCGTGTGTGGTCGTGCTGTACTGCAATAGAGACATCGAATTGGACCATTTCGAAGATGTCGAACGAGATGACCCAATTAGTAATTCATTCTCAATTGTCACCTCGTTAACGACACTGTGGCTAACGTCGCTATCATTATCGGAGTCAGATTCCGTCTCAGTTACGCACGTGCATTGACGAGTAAGGCTTCGTGTCGATACTGACGCTTTCGACGAGCTCTGGAATACCATCGTACAATTCGATCGCAAATACGAAAATGTATCAACTTCGTACCATCGGTGCACTATTGCTTACTGAAATCAAGGTAAACGTTGTGGCTGGTTAGATACAAACAGCCTCGAAAACACATCGAGTCAGAAAATGAACCCACATCATTCAAGCAGTCGACCGAATGGTCGGACCATCGAGTCCCCCATTGCTACATGTCGATATTGTAGCTCGTACAATGGAACGATATGGTACAAACGATCCCTGTATGCAAACGAGACGAAGAAACGTTCGAATGACATCAATGAAAAATCACAAACAAACTTTCGAAAAGACATGTACGACCAAGCGTCGATTTAAGGCGTTACTGGATGGAGAGTGTCGATACTTTGATGCAGCAGTTAACATTTGACAAATGACACGTAATATATTCATTCCCTTATCTCTTTTGGTGGTTGATAAAGCGTAGTGCCAGTAGTGCTAACAGTCGATAGACCACAATGAACACAAACATGTAGCCAAAGTTGCTCCAGATCTCCGAATGCTTGTACCCGAAGTTCGATTCCACGTATTCCTTGACGGTAATATGGCCAAGAGATCTTGGAGCGTTGGTTAGCTCACGACAGGCCATTAGATCACTACCGCCTTCGTACTCACCAGTATCATTGTTCCACGTCGGCAGATCGGGGCAATCGGTGAACACCAGCGAGTTCAAGAGACCCATCGAATACTTCTGTGGCGTTATGACGTACAACCAGTGGTAACCGTGAGGAATCTTGGCTGCCGGAGGGTTAAATCCTGCGAAGACCAGGCAGATCGAGTTGTACAGCACGCCAAGTATCGCTGCCACCTCTATTGTAGGCATTGCGTAGATAAACAATTGACCCAGGTATGTCTGCATTAGCACGAAGAGCGCAATCGTGATCCAGAACATGAAGCCAGATGCCACATCCGTAAAGCCAACCGACGGGTAGAAAACTACAGTAAACAGTGCGCTGCTGAAAAAAACGTACGGGATCTCAGCCACCGTTGAGCCAACGAAGTACCACAAACAGTTGTAGGTCTGTGAAGCACGCTCACGGTAATACGCACCACGTTCGGCAAATGAAATGGGCAGAGTACCCGTGAACGAGATCACACCGTTAAACATGGACGTCATGAAAACCATGGCGATACCAGCATTGACCTCCTGATACGTCTGGTAAGATTTGTTCGCGAACACAACGGCAAACAGGATTCCCAGACCAAGTGCGATCACAATTCGCGTGATGTTGTACGTTGGTGTGCGCCAGTACCGGTCATGGAAACGCTTTATCAAAAATCGCATCTGCGTCCATGAACTTGCTGCACGCTTCTCATTAAACTTCATCTCGGGGAGATCCATGCTCGGCCGAGTAAGCCCAGGTCGGTTCATTTGATCATCCAAAAGACGCTTTTCCTCACTCTCTTGAAAACACTTCACGAAATCCGTCGTACTCGATGAAGCGCTGCTCACACCGGCGCCGATCACTTCCAGCATCCACGTCGCAGGATTCTGATCCTTGGGGCATGGCGGCGTGCCCGGAATCGCCTCAAGGTAGCAAACGAGCTTCTTGCATTGCTCCCCAAGCTCCCCAACAAACACTGACTCGCCGCCACGCTTCAAAAGCAGCAAGCGGTCAAATAGGAAGAACACGTCTGACGAAGGCTGATGAATCGTGCACAAAATTGTACGCCCACTGTCAGCCACCTTTCGAATCCCATCCATGATCAACTTTGCCGAGTGAGCGTCTAAGCCACTTGTCGGCTCGTCCAAAAACAAGATACTCGGCTGAGCAGCTAATTCCACCCCAATCGTCAAACGCTTCGCTTGCTCCTGCGAGCAACCACGAACAATCTTGTCTGCAATCGCGTGCATGTCAAGTAAGTCCAAGCACTCATTTACCGTGTTGTACTTCCTGTTGTCAGGGATACTGCTGTCCTGACGAAGGAAGGCGCTGAAAGTCAAAGATTCTCGAAATGTCGATGCATCCGAGTGAACGTCCATCTGCTCGCAGTAGCCTGTGCACCGACGGATAGCCAAGTCGCTCGCTTTGAACCCGTTAAGCAGAATTTTTCCTGTAATGGTTCCACCGGTCTTACGACCAGCAATCACGTCCATCAGTGTCGTCTTGCCTGCACCTGAAGAACCCATTAGCGCCGTCAATGAACCAGGTTCAGCAAAACCACTGATACCCCTGAGAAGCTCAAGTGATTCGTCGGGGCTGCCAGGCTTCGGAACGGAGTACCTCAAATCCTGGAAGGCAATGGTCACAGGTGTGAACATTTTTTCGTGCATGGGGGCATCAAGCCCACATTTACGCGCTGACAAACCGGATCCTGATGAAGTGCCAGAACATTTGGGTGTTGTTGCCAGAATGTAGTCACTCGTCTCTATGGCCGCTTCTTCAGCATGTTCATCGTTCAGCTTACGAGAAGCATTCCTTGGGTCATCGTAGCGTTTGTATTCTAACACAGAGGCTCCTACAGCCATGAGGAAAATGTAGAGACCAAACATGTAAACAATTCCAGTCCACACCCAAGCGTGGTCTGATGGCACTGCATACTGCTTCAAGAAGTACTCGCCCATGGTCAAACCGAATTCAGAGCAGTAGTCCACATCGTCGTACACACATACATCAAACGTCTTTGATCGATACTGGTTCACACACAGAGCGCGAAGAGACCAGGAAACCGGAACCAGGTAGTAAATCCAAATTAACCAGTCGGGTATCACGTTCTTTGCCATCACAAAGCCTCCAAAGAGATTGAAGATAACAATAGTGAACGTTGACATGGGCTTGGCGATACCGAAACTTGGGCAAAGGGCTGTCAAGCAGAAGAACCAAGCGGCATACACAAGATTTATCTGCGCTAGAATGATCAAGAAGACGACAAAGTGCTCCACTAGTGGAACGAGTCCAGCCATCCAGTACACCAGCGGACCGAACACGATACTTTCCCCAATTGCTTGTGGGATCAATGCCAACGAGTTTGCGATAGCAAACGACGCTGAGCGGTATAAATTGGCCGAGCGCTGCTTGTAGAAAACCTCACGCGCCTCATAAAACGTCGGAACTTGCGCTGTCTGACCCAAACTCATGAAGATTGTCGCCTGAAATAGGAGTCCTACGCTCATCTGCGCGTCCGTCGGGTCTATTTGGTAAAAGGAGGTTCCGTAGACCAGCCCCATGACTACGACCATTAACGCCCTCGCGTAAATGAAAGACTTGTTGCGTTTTGTGAGTTTCCATTGTCTTGCAGTCACGGTCTTGGTGCTTTCCCAGAAGCTCTGATGGAATTCCGGCATGACTTTAATGCACGCTTCAACATCCTTCAAACGTTCAGAGTCATGCGGAGCGTCGATTGTACTGATTAGTTCGGCATACAAGGGAGATTGACGCCAATACTCTGAGAAATCGCTGGCAAGACGAGGGTGCTTTTCCATACCCACAGGTAGTTCTCCCTCGTATTTCTTCTGCATGTTCGTGCCCAGATCCAGCAGAAAATCAGCACTGTCGCGACGAGCCGGACATTGGAAGCCCAGCCTCTCGAAGTAAGGCACAGCCTGGTCTCGAGGACCATGGTAGATAATTTCACCTTGGTTCAACACCATGACATTGTCAAACAGGTTGAAAACTTCAGGCGCAGGTTGTAGCAGTGCGATTACAACCGTCTTGTGTAGATACTTGGCGATACTACGCTGCGTCGTGATAATGTCGAATGTTGCAGCACTGTCCAGACCCGTGCTGATCTCGTCCATCAGTGTCACGTACTTCATACCGAATTCCATCTCACCTGTTGTCACTCGCCTCCGTTCACCTCCAGACACCCCACGAAGCATGCCACTGCCGATGATAGTGTCTTGGCAGAAATGCAGTCCCAGCTGCTCGATGACCAAATCCGGGAAATTTTCGAAGTACTTACGCGCCGTCTCAAGCGCCTCAGCATTCTGCTCCAGAGTGCCATGACCCAGCATCCCCTCTATGTGCTTTGGCATGTCACCACCGCAAACTGCGTACGCAAACTCCAGTGTCTCGCGGACACTGAGCTTGGGAAAATGTCTATCAAATTGTGCTACATAGGCTGAAAACTGAGGAAGCAGTTTCGTGATCCTCTCTCGCGGCACACCGTTGTACGTCACGTCACCCTCGATCTCGACACGGCTGCTCTTCGAGAACTGCCCAGCAAGCACGCGCATAAGCGACGTCTTGCCGGATCCCGGTTGCCCCAGCAGCAGTGTGATAGTACCTGGTTTGAACACGCCACTGACGTTTTTGATGATTGCTTTATTCTCCTCGCGCTTGTTCCACGTGAAATTGGCCAAGCTGCGTTTGATAGTGTTCAGCACCGTGGGTAGCTCCGATTCGGCCGTCACTTGACCAGATATTGTCACCTTCGCAGTGACGCTCAAATTGTGATATCGCACCTCCATCTGCGGCAGGTGTCGTCCCATTGATGCTTCAATCTTGGCAGCCACATATCTGTACAGCGCGTTGGGGCCGTGCGCCATCATGGCTTTGGCCGAGGTCAGGGATTCTGGACCCATGCGGGGAACCTCGTCCTCCATCGCTTTCAACTTTAACGAGGTTTGGTACGCCCGATTCATCTGTCTATTGCAGTGCAAATTAAATAATGACATCGGAGTGATGCATGTTAACATGTACTTGCGGTATACAGACGCGTTGCGACTGGCATTGCAATTGTTCTCAAAACCTCAATCAAAAAAACTGCAAAAGTTGAGACCCGGAATCCTCGTCGTTATGCAAAACTTATACCAGAAACAGCACACAATTCTAGCATGCTGCACACTCATGGATTGCAATCTATTACGCGCCATTTATGAAAGATTGACTGATAGTAATCTAGGATCAAGAACCCTTCCTCTTACCTATAGAATCCATCATGCGGCAATCCGTTCAGAGAAAATTTGATTGGAGTTGGGCGATAGCGATGAAGCTGTTTTGGACGAACAGTTGAAGCCCAATTACTTAGGAAAAGTGCCACACTGTCACGGCTGAATCTGCGCATGTATCATTGGTATCATATACAATCACGCTACGATCATACAAAGCTTACATTCATTGTCATGCAAGAGTGCATATGCAGCTATTCTCAACGGTGGCAGCTGCTTGCCATTATCGTCGGAATTTCGGCACACCAAAAGTGCTTTACTAAGTTCATTTGATAAATTCCTTGAAGGGTTACGTGAAATTATGAAACCAAACGAATCCCAGAGCAACTGCTGATGCAGCTTATATCCCTTGGCCTCAGTAAAAGCGCAGTGTTTTTCCAGCATGAGGTCAACGAGATTTGCATCTGTGTGCGTATCGAACGGCGTCACCTACTACTCGAATCTTACTATCTGAGCATCGCGTCCTTCATGATCATATGGTTGATTGGTGCAATGAGACTACGCGAATGCAAGAAAGTTGACTGGAACTTATTCCAATAAACGTAGTGACTGCGACTTACACTTGGCAGTTTAAGAAATACCACTTACATTTGTATGTCGATTTTACCTACCATCACTTGCCGGATTCTTTGCTGGTTGTCAGCGACAGAGAATCTCTTCAGGATTCCACTGATAGTTGTGGTTTCCCAATGATCGTTAAGCGAAATGCCCTCAAAAGGTTTGCGATAGCAACAAGCGCTCTGGATCTGTTTAGAGCGTACACCTCTAGTACATGTCATGCATGATCTGGGGGAAGTCGAAGGCGAACGCGTCGGGCAAGGTAGGCAAGGGCCTATAAGAACATGGCGCATTATCTGCGGTTGATAAATGAGTGGGAGTTTGTGGTGCGTTTACTTCAACAAGGTCGCACTGGCGAACACAAAGCGCTAGACAACCGTCATGCCCACGCCAAACCAAAAGGTGATGACAATATGCAAATCGCATTAGGGCAAGCGGATGGTCGCTCATTTCCTCAATCGCAGACGTACACCACATGAATGTCATGGGCTCCACGGAGATCACGTCAAAGGACAGAGCTAAGAATACACTAACGTATGTACAAATACCAGGTGGCTCCCGAGCGATGTCCAAAGAAATTTGGATTAAACCATTTTGGAAAGCTGTTGGCAAGGCTGACAAAAGCCGCGTGTACTTTACATGATGTCTGCTGTAGATGCAATTGAGTTGTGTATGCTGATGAATGTCTTTTTATTTTTTGTAGAGAGGACTGTCTGTATAACCCAGCTCAATATGACAGCGGACAAGTCTCCATTAGATGATATGTAAGCTCTACAAAATTGCGTACTAGTACCGCAAAGCCTTAACTTGAAGATAAATTGATATTTCTTGACATTCCAAGAAATCCTCAGCTTCAAAGTCTTCGTCTATTTGTCGCCCAGAAACGTAAAGGTTGTTTTTGGATTATTCGTTTCCTGATGACTTAGTCGAATGGCTTCCAGTTTTTCAGCGAGGGGATTGTTGGCGGCGATTCCTTTGGCAAGAGCCTTCGCAAAAGCCTCGTCATCCCCGTACTCCGCTGCCAAGTTCACATACACGATCTCATGTGTTATTTTCTCGTCTTTAAATATATTCTTGACGAGAGCGACCCATTTGTCCAACACTGGGCTCTCGAATAGTTCGTCTCCTGTCTCGGCGAGTTTCAAAAACGTCAAAACCTCATTCACAGATGTCCTAGGGTTCTCCCTCCACTTCTTGAACTGGATTTCAAGCAGTTTATCAGCGATCTCTTTCGTACGTTCCAAAGTCGTTCCTGCAACTAGAACTTTCATAAGAACAGCCTTGTCCTTATAATGACCTGCCAAGACCTTGAACATCTCCTCAGTTGCAGAGTTCGGGTATCTTGACTCCAAAAAAGCAAACCACTTGAAAAAGGCTGGATTTTCGAAAAGTTTGGCTTCTGTAAAGCCAAGCCCCAAACGAGTAAATATATAGTTCGGGGATTTCCGCCACAGGCTCCACCACCACCGTTGCAGTTTCTCGATGACCGTTGACAGACTTGTCTTCATTCTGGCATTGAGAGAGGAAAGGCTTGATGTGAAGCTTGACGTGAAGCCTACCCTCTCTTCAGGATTTCTGGTAGGATCACTTGAGGTCATTTCTGCGTTCGATCTCAAGTAACGCTTGATTGAGACCTCAGTATGACCGACATTCTGCCTATTTAGAGCTTGCAAGCCGTGTATGGCATTTTCAGGTGATCCTGTGGTGATCACACTAGTAGCCGACGATGCCACCAGCGCGACTAAAATCAGTGCCTTCGTGTAGGAAAACTGGACTCCATTGGACTTGACAGACATTTTTTTTAACTTTAAGCAGGTGGGAAAGTAAAAACTTATGACCAAAGTAGATGCAATTGTGACTTTACTTGGTGTCTGTCTATTATTCGAATTCTGGTCTGGATTAGCGCATCATACACGAAGTGCACGTCAATGTATCAATGTACCCATTGTGCTGCATGTTGTGCTGCGGCTTTTTTGGACATTTGCAAATGTAGTACAGAAGAACTTGCCTAAAGAAATACTCTTGAAATCAGAGAAGTTTATCAGCTAAGACAAGTTATTAATTATAATCAGTATTACTTTAGACCAGTCATACTATGTGGGTTTATGCCAAATCATTTAACAGTTTAGAGAAGTTATCAACTAAGGCAATAACAGAGAGGACAAGTTAGTAATATTCAATCCTTCTGTCTACGACCATTCTAGCAGCCCTGGAGCACTGCGTAAAAACCAATGGTCTCCAAGCTTTACCCAAGCTCTTTGCTTGAGGAAAGCCCACCATGATGGATAATAAAAGCTGTCGAATCATCTGGTCTGCAAATCGTACATGTCTCGCAACTCGAGACACTTGCATGCAAATCGCATTTCTTGCTGTTAGAACACGTGCTACTCTGACAAAAAAACGCGCTGACAATATTTGCCTTGCAATTTATGCAGCCTTCGAGCAAATACACAATTGCTCAGAATAAGCCGCTTGTGAGGTTGCATCATAACAACGGCAGCGATACCCAAAGAGAAACGATGCATTTACAGTCGCATTTCGCTGCACAGGTAGTCTGAGTATTGCCGCTTTCTTGGTAAGCTGCTAGCTAGTTCATTCCAATAACCACTGATTGTGCTGTCGTCGCCACTGCCTGCGATTCTTCGCCAGTACTTTTCTTGAGAAGCTACAACACATACGTTTATGTCAACACGCCCGTCTGAAGGAGATAAACCGTTTTGATCAACTGAGATGCGCCAAATTAGCTACAGGATGTCATTTTAAGCCATGAACACCGGCGGCAGAGCTGATAATAATGATCAGGATGTAATTTGCAGCCACTGAAGAGTTGGTGTCCCTGCTTTACTTGAACGACATACCTGTTTTGTAATACGAGAGGGGCGTAATTAGTGTAGGAAATTAATTTGACTTGCGTCCTCTATGTCTTGATGGTGGACCATAGTGGACGATGGTCCGCTTAAACTGCATAAACTGCTTTTTCTTTAACCCAATCACTTTCAGTATATACCGGTATACACAAAAGACGATCATAAGTGTCTTTTCCTTACTATATTCTATAGATGACCCTTGTAGAGACGAGCGTATGGCTGATACGCTTGTATTTGAACCTGCTCCTTTTCATCCCTCGCGTATTGTAAGACAGACCACACCATCCATCCTTCTCTTATTCCCCGTCTATGTCTGCTATAACTAACTGCCATTCAATTGTCTTGTCTTCTCCAGTCTTGAGCTCCATTTGACGTGGAATCCTTTCGTAATCCTCGCAAGAAAAGCTCTTAAACGCATCAATTCTACGCTCAAGACAATCACTGGAGTCGACGCTATGGACGACAGTGACAAGATGCGCTGGCTACAACCTGGAGAGCGTGACGGCGAGCGCGTAGCCATCGTGAGCTACCCTCGCTGTGGCAACTCGCTCATGCGTGGTCTGTTAGAGAAGGTCACGGGTGTCTATACGGGCTGTGACACTCGGCCAGATCGATCTCTTAGCAAGGAGCTACAGAAATACGGCATGAAGGGTGAAGGTGTCGTGAATGAATTGGTTTGGTTCGTCAAGACGCACTTCCCGGAACGCGTTGGCTATAAGGAGTTTCCCGCGTCAAAGGCCATCCTTGTGGTGCGCAACCCCTGGGATGCCATTGATTCGTACTTTAACATGACACTCACCAATACGCACAACAAGAGCTTGCACGAGTCACAGTACAAACGCTTTGCCAACCGCTGGGACGGTCTGCTCCGCAATGAGATCGACGTCTGGATGAAGTTTCATCGGTACTGGACGACCAAGGTGGATATTCCTATCATTATTGTCCGATACGAAGACCTTATCATGCATCGTGAAGAAACGCTGCGTCGTGTTTTCTTGTTCCTGACAGACTTGACGACACTGGAAGGCACGGAATGGGAAAGACGTATTCATGACGCCATGTCGACCAGCGGTGAAAAGGCTGGACCGTACAAACCTCGTAGTGGTAAGATCGGAGGTTCATTTCGTCATTATTCGGAGGAGCAGTTCCAATATATTTTGAAGACGGCGAACCTGCCGCTGCGTGGATTCGGCTACGACCCCAAGACGCAAAACTTTCCTAACGAAATTTTGCTTCCGAAGCGACAGGTGAAACCGGGCAAGGAATGCGAGAAGCTGCTCATTTCAACCGACAAAGAGATGGAGATTCGCAAGAAAAACGACTCGTATGGACGCGGATCGACGTACTTTCGTCGAGCGCTTACAGAACCTGTCATTGCAAACGATGGCACGGAGCTGAACATGGACGAGGTGCAAGCTGCAAGGGAGCGATTGCTGGCCAAGAAGGAAGAGGCCAACGACGAAGCTGAATCTATAAGGAAGATTTAACGATGACCTTGGAGGCCAAACGAATAATGTAGAACAGCGATATGTTGCAGAAGACCTCAAGGAGAAGCGTAGTGAATATTAGTGAAGTCGAAGACGACAACTATATAGACAAGTGAGCTAACCTCAATGATGAAACAGAGCTGCTTGAAAGGCTGCTTACGATGTTGCAATAGGCTTGAGTGCACCTTCAATACGTCGAACCGTCGACTGCAACTTCAGCTTGAAAGCTACGTCCTTGCACTCGACTTCCTGCGAGGAGTGGTCAACAACGGCATCGACGCCACTCGGTGTTCGAACATGGATCTTGTTCGTCTCAAAGTCCAAATCAACATCGCCGTATTGATCCTTCAGAAGACGGAACACAATCAGCAAGTTCAACGCATCTTGGTCAGCTTCGCCTAACTCCTCCGCAGCCTTCTCCAGTTCTGTCTCAGTCTCCTTCTTTTCAACAAAAGGCTCCTCCGGCACAGGGTCATCACTGCTATCCTTGTTCTCCATAAGAGAGACTTCCTCTTTTTCAGTTTCCACGCAAACATCCTTGCCATTCACAACTTCATTACAATCATCGCTCTTCTTTGAATGATCGTGAGGGCACGCAGCTGTAGGCTGGCCACTTAGCTTAAAACTAGCTGGGCTTGCCTGCGCATGCATAGCGAGCGCAATCACTGAATCTGCAATCATGTCGGCAGTCGGCGCAGAAGTCCATTCCACAGCAAGTTTCTCAGTGGCGCCCTTAGCGACAGTGCATCGCGTCACGACCACCTGCTTGCACACCACGACACGGTTTTCATTCTCCACATGCACGACGTCCTCATACATTTGACGAATGAAGGTGATCAGCACGTCAAACGAATTATACTCGAACGGCACGTGCTGCTTCTGCGTAATGCTGCCACAAATGAGTTTCGTGTATGTCGAGAGGTCTTCCTTGTTCATCAAATGCGTCTGAGAGTCGACCTCCACCAGGAGACCAGAAATCACATTGCCATTCTTTGGCTGATCACTTGCCAAGCTTCCAATAGCCTTGGCAATTTTCTCACCTTTGAACTCTAGCACAATCTCCTGCATATTGGCTGGCGTGAATATGGTCGGGTGGTAGATTTTAGGATCATTGAACTTCTTGTTCAAAGCCGACTTTAAACGCATCATCTCGTTCTTTTCACCGTGAACCAGCACAATATTCGGTGGAGTAAGCTTCTCCACAAAGCCGCTCGTGCCCACAAAGTCTGCATGCGCCGAGAATGATATGTACTCCACAGTGCAGTTCATAGGGATGATGCGTCCATCTAATGCTGCGATCTCCGTCGGCTCGGAAAGAATCTTCTTTGCTAGCGTGCCTTCGACCACATAACCAGGAATCAAACAAGCATTGCGCTTGTCCGAGCACCACCGCTCGAAGAGTTGTCGCGAGACACCGCTTTGCAGCATACCAGGACTAGCCATCACCACACACGGACCAGAGTCATCAAAGTCGTCCATACTCTTCAGATTCGAGATATGGTCGAACTGGAACGGATTGGAGATAGCAATCTGTTTGCGGATACGATCATTCATCATATTAATGTACGTCTGGTACACACGCAACGCCTTGGCAGCAAGTTTGGACGCAAAATAAATCGGAATATCCTGCAGATCTGGATGTGAGCGCCAATGTTCATCCAAAATCAGCAGAAGTTCCTGTGTACGTCCAAGAGCAAACACAGGAATCAAACAGCGTCCACCGCGACGCACAACAGCTTCAACTTGTCCCGTAAAGCGTCCCTCACGTTCCACCACCGACTGATGTACTTGCACACCATAAGTTGACTCTACAATGAGCACATCTGGTGAACAAGCTGGTAGTTCAGCTGCCATGAGATGACGATCGTTCTCGAGTGAATAATCTCCCGTGTACAACACTTTAACACCACCAATCTCAATCAGATACATACATGCACCTAGTACGTGACCAGCATTATAGGGCGTAAACTTGATCCCATTATGCATCATTTCTTGATGAAAATCAATAATTTCCACCTTAGAAACACAGTTATTCAAGTCCTTGTCATCGTAAATCTGATCATCTACCGAGATGTTGGATACACGTAAGAAATCCCGCAGCATCATCTGCATGACGGCCTTAGTCGGGTGCGTCATGAATACGCGGCCTTTAAAATTCGTCTTTTCTGTAAAATGTGGTAGTGCTGCTACGTGATCGATATGAAAGTGTGTGATGAGCAACAAGTCAATCTCTTCTGCCTCAACACCATCAAAGAACGGCAAACTTCCGTGTCCCGAGTAGCCTGGATGTACACCACAATCCAGCATAATAGTCTTTCCCTTGAATTTGAGAACAATACAGGAGCGACCTACTTCATTACCAGCTCCTAGTGGCATAATACGCATGACATGACGCTCATCCGCAGCCTCTTCGGCCAATCTGCGCTTCGACATGATTGTAAGATTTTTACTTTATAAGACTGGTGTGAAGAATGTGTGGTGTAGGTCACTATAACGAGGTGGCATTTATCTCTAGGGATGCAACGTACAGTAGGCGGACACCCTTTTTCTACGTGCAACCTCATGTTGAAGTTTCCCTTTGCCCTTTCACTTGGTGTCATAATGTACACAGAGTGATGGTCAAGCTTTCAGCAGAGTAGGCTGCCGTACTCGACGCGATACCTGCATACTAGCCACCACACCGGCAATCTCGTCAATTGTATGCACTTTTGACTGAGAGTAAGCTGGAGGGATGCAAGTCATCTTAAGAAGGGCATCGGTTGTATACACACTTAGGGCGTGGTTTGTGGAGACAACACATTATGTTTTTATCTTACGGACCCAGCGTTACATTGCTGCGTACAGCATGAAATGATGAACAGCGGAGGATACAGCTTCGCTGTCGGATGCTTCTCCTTAATGTGATTTATTCTGTCTGAGTTTAAATTTCGTCGCAATGTGCGTGTTATCGAAGACAACAGCTTGTCTTTTAGGTGCTTTTCCTGCTGCCTTTGTTGGATTCAAGCCAAGCAAGTGAGCTTCCATTCTGTTCACTTTGTCCATAAGAGATTTCAACTAAAAAAGTTTTCATTTCTTCATCTCAAGGCCTTAATTGCTGCTTCCTGCCCCGCTATAAAGCCTTCTACTTTAGTACAATAAAGCTCAAATGATCATTCACATCGTCGTGTATACCATCAAACTGACTACATACACACACACAACAACAAGTAGCACCAAAATTGCCTCAACATATGAAGTCCATTGCACCATTCAAAGTGAAATGCCTCTTTATTTTCTTCTTCTAGCAGTCTCTATCAGTCCTCCCCTCCCTCCCTCCCTCCTTCCTTCCTTCCTCACTCTGCTTAGTTCTTCTTGGTGCGCATACGCAGCGCTTTCTTACGCTTTCGATGCTTGTGCTTGTTCATTTTCTTTCGTCGTTTCTTCACCACACTGTCCGCCAAATAGCCGTCCATCTGACACAACAGTTCGTCCACATCACGAGGGCCGTCCATGTCTCGCAATGGCAAATTATCATGCAATGCACTGAGCATACCAGAAGTATCCCACAGATCTTCCGAGCAAACTAATGCCCCCTCCTTCTCTTCAGCTTCGTCCTGTTCGTTCTGCATAGGAAAAGAACCCACTTTCCAGAGATACGACGGGTCTGCTCGTGGATATTTGGCTTGCCACAACGACGGGTCTTCCGGCATGGGGAATGACGGCATCTGGAACAAAGCATCAGGTGCATGCGTTGACTTGAAAACGCGAGACTGCAGTGAGCGCCGATTGACGCCTAAAACGCAGCGCATGGCGGCGCGTAATCCAGACATTTTATACGTGTTTATTAATGGCGAAAGATGGGAGGCGGGCACTGCCGGTGTAGAATATACAGGTCGAGTTTTGATAGTAAAGAATAGATAAAATAAAATAGATTGAAATGAATATGAAAGGTATATGTAATTGTACAGGTTACTAAAGTAGGCGTTATAAGCCCGTTTATAGACGGTAAAATGACACTTTATGGAGCTTTTGACGACAATCAGTTGATGGCTTGATAGAATAAGCACCACTGCAATGTCGATGATACTGACGAACCACTGGAATATCATGGCCTACAGACTGCTTTTAACTCTAGTGGGCACATGACCGTCGAAATCTATCAAGGCGGTAGAATAGAAATACAAAAGAACCTGATCAAAGGAGCTTGCGAAAATGGACTCGAGGGTTTCGCACAAGGGGTTGACACCGTGACATGATTGTTAAGCACTCAGTCAATGAAGAAATACCGTACGAATAGTGCAAACCGCAGAGTTGACCACCAAATTGAGACGAGCTTTGTGTCTGCAGGGTCCGTGTGACTTGCTTTGTCATTACAGAAGGTTTTGTTACTTGATGAGGTAAAATCAGAGACGATGAAGACAAACGTAGGATGAATTGTTCACCTGGCATCCTCGATACAAACGAACGATTGAAAGTTCGTCTCTTGTTCAGCACCAGACCTTTCTGTCGTTGCCTCGCAGTTTACTCATTATGTTTGTCTTGAGTTGTGCTTGAAGTGTCGATTTGGCTACATGAGGGCCCGAAAATGCAACAGTTCGCTCCTAGCTCGGCGAAATTGTTCTAGCAGTGTTTTTGTCTCCCCGTTCTCGTCTGCAAGATTGTTGATCATAAACAGCGATGTCAATTCATGAATAGCAAAACGCATAGAAAACAATAACACAAACCTTGTGATGAGGCGCGTAGATCCGTGATGACGCCATCGCAGAGGTCGACGATGTTCGAACAGCAGGCAGTAAACTCCGCGAGCTGGTCCGTCCCGGCGCGCGGAGAAATGGCGTGCTTTTTCCAGGTAGTAATTATGGCCAACATAGACTGCAGCATATGCAATGTCCAGCCTTCGCGATAGTACTGCTCAGGCTGCTCGCGGTAAAGCTGCTCATAGTAACTCAAAAGTTCCCGGTGCGTCACACCCACGTCCAAAAACAATTTGAGCACCCAGTTGAATGTTGTAGCGTCAATAGCCGAGGCCGAGGCAACGCTGCCGGTAAAGGCACCCACACCCATTGATCGAATATACCACAGAGAAATCCACTCTAATAAATCCGCCAGGAACTTAACAGGAAACACGATGCCGCCGGTTTCAGCAGCTGAGCCGCTGTGTCTGTCGTTGCCTTCAAAGTAAAACGACTTGCCCAGGCGCAAAATCTTGCACTGCATCTGACCAATCCAATTCCCGCTCTCAAAAGAAGAACCTCCGCTTCCATTGCTTGACGTAGCAAGCAGCCCAGCCTTTTCACGCTGGTCCAACCGCCACGCGTTGAATGCAATATTATTAGAAGATTGAGGCAGTAGACTGAAAATGACCTTCCGCCAGAGCGTCGCGACCACATCTGCGTCCTCCGACTTGCACACATGGATTATGTATAAGCACGCAGTCCACATATCGTACTTCGAAGCAAACCGGTTGTATAAGGTAGACGCGTCAAAGAGCTTGAAGGTGAGCAGCTGTACATCCATTTTCTGGTCACGCAGCGATTCGGTCATGGTCGAGGACGTCTCATGTTCGATCACCATTTGCTCAAGAGCCTTCAAAACACGCACCTGCAACTGCAACACATCGAGCACGTCGCGCACTTCTCGGATGGCCTCTGAGGCTTCGCCCACATCCTCCAAACTCTTCAGGCAACTTAGAGACTTTGACACATAATGTTGGCGCTTCACAATATCCGGATTATGAGAAACGACAAGGGCAGAAGAAACGGTGTGCTCATCAACATTCATGGTGTCGTCAAGGGCACGACCCCACCACACCTTTGCCGCCATAAGATACTTCTGCTGGTCCATGTAGAGCTTAACAAGCAAATCTTGGTCTTTCTCTTTCAGGAACTCTTCAATGTACGGAGAGCGGATGGAAGTCAGTAAATGAGAATGGCCACGCTCATACAACCACGTATACAGCAGGTTATGGAAACTTTCATCCTCAGACGCCAGCGCAAAATGGAACAACTCTTCCACGTACTTATTCCGTGTATCGTCGTCCAGCGTCACCATCTCCTCAACACCTTGCGGACTAGCCCCATTCGCCACAGCGTGGGCTGAAGCGTTCTTTTCTCCACCCAAAAGCCGATGCAGCGCCAGCAAGATACAACCAAAGCACCGGCGTTTCCATGTGTGTTTAACACCGCTCAAATCAGAAGCAGCAGCGTCATGAAAGTGCTTGGCACATGCTAGCGAAAGTTTCACTACACCTTCGTAAAAATTCAGCAGCATGTAATCTTCGCAGATACATTGTAGAACATCCAGACAGTCTTCTGTGTCCCACATGTGGCACGAATTCAGGAACTGGTCAAGAGACTCCTGTAAAAGATTATTGCGAGCAGCGGGTGACCCGCTAAGTTTGGCATTGGACAGACTTCGGTAACCTTGGTAGTGCCATAGGTCTGACACAGAGAAAAACGTAGGGCACTGTTCGCGTAGTTGCTTGATCAAGAGCTGATTATTTTCATCATGCCCACGCATCAGCGCCTTTGTCATTGTCTTGGCAGCTAAGAAGCCATCCGTCGTGGTCACAAAGTCACTAAAGCTAAGTGAGGCGAGAGGTTCCTCCAATGATACCTTGTATTCCTGTGCAGCCCGCAGCAATGAAATAGCTTCAATACTGCGTAGCACCAACTGATAGAGATAGTACAGCGAGCGTTGTTCGGCTTTAAAGCGCGTCTCGCGCTTCAGCTGGTCTTCATTAAGCGACTGTTGGTGACGCATCACCAGCTCAGCCACCCGGGATAATCCTGCTTCAGTAGATTCCCCAAGAAAACCGTCCAATGTAGGGTTGTTCTCAAGTGCGGCACCAGCGCTAATTGACACGGCAAATGGGCCGGCAGTTTCCATCAACTGTCGCAGTTGAAACAGAATCTCACGAATTTCATCCAGCTTCTCGGGGGAATGAGTGTTCCCAAAGCTAGTTACGTATCCAGGCTCCTTGTCCGATGATTTAACGCCATTTACAGTGTTAGCAGAAACACGAGTAACCACGCGCTGGCCGACTGTCTTTGTTGTCCATAGCGGCCGCAGCACACGACACGCAAACGCAACAAGACCGTCATGTTGGTATGACATACCAAATTCAGTCGTAAGTACGATGCGCGTGCTACCCGCTGAACCGGACGAGCCATTGGCCGTAGATGTACCTGCAGGTTCAATAGGCACGTTGTCAGGGGGGCCCTGAGCGATTTCGAAGATACACTGTACCGCGGCCATGTAAATATACTCGTCACTCTTCATCGTTTTCATTCCGCCCCGGCGTGGCGCAATAAGTGAAGCCGCTGTCGAAGTCTCACTAACCAGAGGATCTGTAGGAACACCACATGCCAGCGCAATCAGCATACAGATCACTTGAATCTCGCCAAAACAACGAACAAAAGGAACCACTGCAGCCTTAAGCTCATGGCTTCGCGAAAGCAGAAGTATACGGTGCAGCTGATCCAGTGGCCGGATCTTCTTAAAAACCTGAATGCCTGCGTTTGTCAAACACAAAAAATGTCGTGAAGGCTGCGAGTACATGAGCGCCATCTCACCAACCACCGGTGCATTCTCAGGAGCTTTTCCGGCAGAGATGCCGGTGGACATTTCATCAAATGACCGTTTGCTGCCGACACTCGACCCTTTTAAGCAAGAATTCGAAACAGCAGCCTCCATCTGTGCCATCCACGCTCTATCAGGTCCCTCGCTAGAATACGGTTCGAGTTCCTGAATATCCACGACTTTACCGATGCAGGTGTCCAGCGAGACAGACTCTCGGATTGTAGGCTTCTTCGCCGCCAAACCTGTCGAAATAGGAAGCGCTGTCGTACTAATGGGGTCATGCGCAATACCCACGAGCTGATCTTGTTGATCACGTCGCCCTTCAATACACAAAAACACGCCTTTGCGGTGGAACGCCACGTGCACTGCACTTGGACTCTTACCAGGAGCATAACCTGGCTGCATGCCTTCCTTGGCATGATATGGAGGTGCATCACGCACTGAAATTGCCGGTGGAGGCAGCCGAATGTGAAGTATATCAAGTCTAGATGGACGCATGCCTTTGCCATGATTGGTAGCTCCGGAATATGCATACCGACGCGAGTACGATGTCAAATAAAACCGGATGCCATTCGAAGTCACAGCAACCAGCGTGACCACCTTCGACTCGTCTGGAGTAACCGTAGATAATGCCACAACCTTTAGTGGATTGGTCGTTCCAGCTTCTGCCGGCTGGAAAAGTCGCTCGTCAGGGCACGAGACGCGTGTTCGGCGGTTTTCACGCGCATATTTTGCACCATCAGCCAAGATATTAACGGCGCATACGGCCTTGCACTCGTCTCCATGAGCTCCCAAGTCAAACACACTCACTTGAGCATCATCATGTAGCATATAGAGAATATGTCGTGTATGGTCGATACACATGTCAAGTACTTTTCCAGGTGCACTAGTTAATCCAGCAAGAAATCTCGGCAGATACTGCGCATAACTTGTTGTATGTGCAATTTTTCTACATCCATCAAAGGTTCCAACTCCCGGAACATTCGTCAGTGCCACACCAAGAAGCGAGTTACGGTCTGCGGCCGCTTTTTGCTCCGGTGCGTACAAGAACTCATACAAAGCTCCATCAGAGCCTCCAAAAAAGACACGACCATTATGTGTAGTCACAATCCTACGGACAACACATTTGTCCGTGCTCACACTAAGTTTTGTTCTCTGTAACTTGAAGCTCGTCGAAATTCCAGTTCCGTCCGTCTGATTCTCCTCAGCCACGACCGCAAGCAGCACGACCTCAACTGTCGTAGCCACTACAAGTACATGACGTACTTTTGACGTAAAGACGCCCATAGCCGGGCAAACTACGAGACCGACAGCAACAATTGCTTGATCAAATTCCTTGGCGGCAAAGCGGCCGCGTTGTCCGTAGCTCCAGAGAAAGAGACGGCCATCTACGGACGTCCAGACGGACCGAATCTCAGGCAAGAGACCAGAAAGTGATAATGTCTTGGTTTCATCTAATGCAGCAGCTACAACACTTGGAAGAGGAATGATCGACCCTTTTTTCGTGATTTGAGGGGTCCATTGAGACGTATATGGCTCAAAAAAATAGTTTTGAGGCTCAGATTGCGCATTAAGTTGATCAATTAAGTCAGGATACAAAGCGTCGTCTTCAGTTGCTTGATCGATTCGTGTCTTGGCGTCTAATAGACCCTTAAAAACACGATCTGATGCTTCGCGAGACGCTGATAACTCCATGCTTGTTGTGGGTCTTTTGTGGTGTTGGAGACCCCCCACTAATTTCAATAGTAGAAACAAGTGGAATGGAATGGATGAAGATTTTTAAGACGATACTAGGCGCCGGTTTTTAATTGGCTGCTACGATAGTTGTTGCCATTCAAATTTGGCGCCGAGACTGTTTTCTAAATTCTAGCCTAAATTAGTAAAAATAGGTGAGGCGCTGTAAATTATGCAGCTTACTTTATAATTCATCTTCAGATCCAAAAACGACTACATTCAAGCAACGCATTTTCCTCAGTCCCCTCACGAACTTCAAGCAATTCACAATTGTATTGTCATGCAACGTAAGCTCTGCAATTTAAAGTTGCTTTGTTTACTTTTTTTGGCGGTCATAAGTGACTACTGCTATTCGTAATGTCAGTTGTTCTAGAGGTTTAAGCCAGACAGGCGAAAAATCATGTCTTCGTCAAAGCGTTTTCAATAACGCTTGAAATTCTGTCAGGAAAGATCGATTCGTACAAAAGACTGGTCATCTATCTGACAGCGAAAGGCAAAGACTTTTTAATAATGAAGACGCACTTTTAGGACACTTGCAGTAAGCTTAGGTACATACGGGCATTGTATTTTCGCTTCGGACAGGACTCAACGAAATCGTGCAAATGGTCCTAATCAGTTAGATATAAACGAGAACATGGACGGTTCTGGCTCTTGCAGTACACTGCGTTCGGATTGTGAAATGGACGAAGAAGCCATGGTTGGGGTAGTGGATGACGTAATGCTGCTACGCAGAAAACCAAACCCAGTGGGTGACGTCGGCTCTGTGCTTGTCGAACTGCTGTTGAACACAACCCCATCGTTTGCGTCAATAGTTGACATGAACCCGAATGACGACTGGGTCGACTCGGCAATTGCAGGTGCTTGACCTATTGGACGGACTCCCATTGGTGGTCGGCCTGATGCTGCTGAACGTAATGAAGCTTCCAAGTCGCTGAGGCCCATCGGTCGGCCGTGACTGCTCTTCATTAATGTGTCGCATAACACAGCAGCTGGCCTTGCTGGTTGATGCCGATTGTCGTTCTTTAAGCTGAGTCCAGCAAAAACGTTCGTAGCAACCTCCACGGCTGAGTTTGCACCATCCGTTGAAAGCACGCCGAAACTAGATGACGGACTTGTTGGTGCTTGGCTAGCGTTAAGTTGAGCGGGGGCGGCCACTACAGGTGATTCCTGGGCATTGTCGCGGAGAAAGCTGAACCCGTATGAATTGCCTGCTTGGGTGGGTGCTGACGGAGCAACCATTGCGTTACCATCATCATTTATAGCGACTTGTGGGTTGGCGTTGGCATTCAGAAATTGAAAACCCAAGTCACCTTGCAACTGTGAGATGCCCAGCGGTGGGTCATTGACAGTGCTATTCGAGTTCTCTTCAACGAATGCAAACGCCGACACAGGATGCTTCTCCTCCTCTGATGCCGCAACACTGGTGTAAGATGGAGGATCTGTACTGGCTGTGCTCTGAATGAGCCGAGCCAGCTCGTCAGCCTTGCGCACGAGTGCTAAGCGGAACTGCTTCACCTCTTCGTAATTTGGTGGCCGGCGTTCCCCAAAAATTACAGAGTCAATACCTTGCGTCTGGATTTTTTCCACGTTGCCGTGAAGCTGTGCAAGCTGGTCGCGACGGTCCACGGTAGACTGCCCGCTACGCTCGCGGCAGACGATCTCTTTTAACTTCGCTTCAATTTCACTCAAACCTCTGCTGTACCCATTCAAACGAGTCATGAATGCTTCACCACCCGAGCTTTCGAGTTTGTGAGTATCCTCAGACTGTGGATGGATATGATCCCCTTCCACGCTTTTCTTGTCTGTAACAACCCCTTCCTCTTCTTCCAATGGAGGGGGAACGTAAGGCATCTGAAGTGTCGACGGGTTGGCGGTCCGGCCATTGTTCATGAGTTTCTTGAAGCGCAACAGCTTAGGCGCACTTGAGAGCGAGCCTAAGATGGGACCCACCTCGACTAACCCCTTGTTCTCTACGTAAATGGAGTTAATACTAATCAAAGCGCAGCCTGGGCAAATAGCGGGGTGCAACTCGAGATACCCACGCCCGCCCGTTGGCAGGGGCACGAAGCGCTCAATCACAGTCATATCAGGAATTGTACGATCCAACATCACACCCATGGGTCCTGGTGGTACATCAATTTCCAATATCACTTCGCGCAATGGCTCAGACTGTGTTGATTGTGACACATCACCTCCAATGTCGCCGTGTACTGCATCGGATGACATTTTGTAAGCATCAAAAGAGTCTAGTGCTTGAGCGCCGTCATTTGCATCCAAGCCTTTGAACGGATCATAAATCAGGTCGGACATGTCGTATTCGTCACCTTTGTCCTCCACTTTCTCGGTCTGACCTGGTCGCAATAGCATCGGCTCGGGAAGTGTATCAAAGACAGTGTAGCAACGTTGAAGCACAGGTGTAGGTGCTGCGTGGGCTGGAACGACAGTTGATGTTGTTTCCTCTTGCTGTTGTTGCTGTTGAGCAAACGCTGACGGAATGTTTGCGGTCGGGATGCCACATTCAACTCCACGGACACTTGTAGCCGCAGAAGCGGGATTCAGGAAGTCAAAACTGGAAGAAAGTGATGCTAGTTGCGGCGCACTGGGTGCTGGCATGCTTGGCGGAGCCATGGCAGCCGGTACGTCACCATTCAGGGAAGGCGCTTCTACCAAGAAACGAAACGCTGAGTTATCAGATGCTGGTGGCGCTGAAGGTAAAGGCTGTGAGTCTACTTCGCCTCCACTTGCGGACAGAAAACCAAACGACGAGTTTCTGACAGGTGTCATCGGCGCAGCCGTCATCTCAGCCGGCGCATACTCTTGCTGAGGATGGTGCACTTGTGGCACCAGAAAATTGAACCCCGATGTTTCATCGACCGCAGGCAATGGCGCGCTGCTACTACGCGGCGACTCATTTGTGTTCATCATCAAGTTGTGGGGGTTCTGTTGAGACGACAAAACGGGCGACGTTTGCATCAATGTGTTCACCTCCGTAGCTTGTGCAGCCTCCTCAGCTTCGTCTTCCTGCATTCTGCGCATCAGCTCCAATGGACTCTCCACGTGTGGTGGCACGTAGTCTTTAAGCAGTGCGTAAACTTTATCCGCCCGTTTCCGCAGCATGTCCTTCCTGGCACTACGCAGGTCATTCAGCAGGTCCAGTCGTCCGCCGTAATATTGCTTATAGAACTCTGCATCTCCGCTTCCCAGTAATGCACTAAGTACGGACAAAGCCTTCGCCTTAACTTGCCACAGCGGACTCTCAAACTTGTCATCCAGTAACTCGCAAATGTACTACAAGAACCGACAACGTTATAATATCAGATTAAAGAGGTACTAGCTATTTATAGATTAATGAACACAGTACGTACATCATGGTCCAGGGTGTGGAGATAACGCAACAATTTCTGCAGAACTTCACGGGGTGGAAACGATGAGCTTCCGATCGATGAACAAAGATCCGACACAAGCGCATTCTCCAAGTCTGTCTGCTGATGTACAGGCTGTTGTTGTGATGGTGTCGGCTTGAATCCCTGTTTCCATCTGGCTGCTTGTGACGCATAGGTCGACTCGGGCTTAGGACGCCGCTGATTGTACATGATGGCTACAAAGTTTGTAAAGACTCTTTAGGGTAAAAAGCACAAATGACACTTCTGAGGGGCAGTAAAAGAACGTGTTTAAATATTGTTCCTGCCAATCAAAGGGGGGTATTTCATGGTCCAAAGCGATCATTGGTTGAAATGAAAGCCCTGACTCAATATCTGTTAGTGCAGTTTATATTTGGAAATGATACTTGTCGAAATTTTCAAATTGTACAATAGTGTACTTCAACATGACGTTTTTGTGCAAGAGAGGTACTTTATATTAAGTATCGAAATTCTACTTAGAAGTCCGATAGGCTTATTGATGCTGTAGTGACAGTTGCTACCTAAACATCTACAGTAGTAGCCATGATGATGCGAATCATGCTGAGCATGCCAAAGTTACAGCAATTGGCCTATGTTTGAATTGTGCTACCTTCGCATCTACCAGAGAAGCTAAGGTAGCTTGAAAAAAGGTGGTCGAGTATTACTTGAGACGAGGAAAAACAAGGGCTCAGTACTCATCCCAGATACTCCCTCTTGCACGTCTGAGGGCCTTGTTCGGTATGCTATCTTTGTAGGCCATTCGCACCAACGGCAAAGGATCCTGTGATCAGCAAAAGTTTGCTTTTGCCATAACTTCTGCCCTACTGCAATCATTTCAGTCTTGCTTTGACCATCTCCGAAGTTCCTGTCTCAACTTGAGGTGTGGGCAGCTGACTCGGGTTGTCTCGATTACACGGATACTGCAAACAGAGCTAGAGCCTGCTTGGGTGCCAACTGTGATAACTCCATATGCATTTTCAGAAAAGCACCGTACGGGTAGAGTCTTTACGACAATGCTTCAGGTAGTCAATCTGGTAACACTACTTCACCGTTCAGGCCATTGTCCTCAAGTGAATCAAGCAGAAATTTAGGCACGACCACTGCTCCGTTTCGTGTGATTTGGTCAAGACGGACGCTGGCTGTTTCTTCATATTAGACACGCCGTCACAAGAGGAATCGCTGTACAATTGAATACTATCTTTAAACGCGTCATTTGCACGCTCGGTCTCCAAGTGATCAGCATGAGCTTGGACAGACCTGTCAGATATTTTTTGAACATGTCACGGCTATTTACTTGGGTTTTGTATTGTTGTACCACGATCGTTGACACAAAAAGCATTGGTTGGTACCAGAATAATGGCCGAGATATCAACGTATCTATTGCTAGTGCTGCGTGGCCTAGAGTTCCTGGTCGAGGAAGAGATCCGCTCAAAGCTGAAGGTGGAAAAGTTAGAGATATGCAGCATACAGGAGAAATCTCGTCCGCCATATATGCAGGTGATGCAGGGTCAAGCTGCAGTGGGCAAGATCATCTTGCAGACAAAGTCGTCGGCTACGGAAGTTCAGAAACTGCGATCAGTGCAGGCGACGCTAGCGTTTCTGGCTAAGAGTGATGAAATTGACACGGAAAGTGACAATGGGGTGGAGCAGATTGGGGTGAGTGGTAATACTGAGTGCAGTGCAACGGTAATGGAGTTGACTGACGAGTGGTTGCATGTGTAGCAAATGTTGATAAAGTCGGATTGGACTGCGGCTGTAAAGTTGTGGAAAGAGCATGCAAAGCATCCGACAGATGACGCCATGATCAAGTTTCGAGGCTCTTGTGTACGTGATGGCAAACACGCGTACAACTCGCAAACTGTGGCAGGAGAAGTCGGTGCACGTGTGGTTGAGAAGTTTGGCTGGAATGTGAACTTGACAGAATTTGATCTAGAAGTGGTTGTCGTGATCTTTTTCAAGTTCATGGTGGCTGGCATTTCGTTAGCGGATCTTCGAAAGATTCAGTTTCGCAACCGATTGGCGAATGAAAGTCGCAATGCACTAGCGGATTCACAATACGTTTCCACTCTGCGTCCCAGTACGGCGTATCTGATGCTGCAGCTTGCAAAACACAAATATGGCGACGTGGTATTGGACTCCATGTGTGGAATTGGTACGCTCCCAATCTGTGCGGCAGACTTTACAAATGACGGAGTCTATGCTCTTGGAGGCGAGCTTGACGAGTTGCCATCGGGAAAGGCTGGCAGGAATACGCAAACTCGAGTGCGTTTTGTTGACATTGTACGCTGGGACAGCGCGCGGTTGCCTTTGCGTGACCACAGCATCGACCGAATCATGATCGACATGCCGTTCGGTGTTCGCTGTGGTAACCAGCGCCAGAATAATAAGGTATGTTACAGCATCCGTTCAACGTGCGGCATCATTAGTAGCTCAAATGAATATGTTTTAACTCGTTTTTCATGTTCAGATGTATCCGAAAATCTTCAAAGAGCTCCTCCGTGTTTTGCGTCCTGATGGTCGAGCAGGTACGACCTCGTCCTCCATTCTTCACCGTTTTTAACTGGCGTATTGCTAATGCCAAAGTTCTCTTGCTGAATTTTTCTTTATAGTATTGTTGGTCATGTCCAAAAAACTCTTCAAAGGTGCGGTCAAAGATTTACCATGTCATGTCGTGGATGAGCACAGGGTAAACATTGGAGGTTTAGGTGGAGGTATCTACATTCTCGAGCCTACTACATCCGTCACAAATGAATCAAAGCTGTTCCAAGAGAAGCCTAAGGCCACAATGAGAGCCCTCACTATTCCCATATAACATCAATACAGCTGAATATGGCTACACTCGATCTACTGAGCACCCAAAAACCCAAAAACGCTAGAAATCAAACAGATAAAAAACCCACTCTATTCCTCTTTTATCCCAATGCAGGTAAAAAGACGAGGCAAGCAATTGACAAATAGTGAGCATATGGAGATCCTTGCGAGTCTAGAAGACCCTTCTACGACTATTGCAAAAGTCAATTGTGCGCGTCAATATAATGTCACTCTTGCTGCCATCAGTAAGCTTACACAAGTAATTCACTCGGTCAAAAAGCGCTACTCGGACGCAGGCTCAGATTCCGGTGGATTACGGGATAAACGACAGCGTAATGGGTTTTCCACGAATGTCCTATTTGAAGACCAATTATACCAATGGATTCGTACGTAATGGGCCATTGCATGTGTCACATGTCCAACAAAAGGCAAAGCTATTGGCCAGTCGACACAAGATGAAGTGAGTCTTCAAATGCATTCAATGGCTGGTATCATCGTTTTTGTAGACGCTATGGACTTACATCAGCTTCGTTACATGCTGAAGTTTTAACACTTATTCCAATGCCAAGGCTTGAGACAATAAAGATGCAATAGGAGAGCAAGAATGAGGACTGGACCAAGTTAAAAGACAAGGTGACGCAGTTTGGACCAAACTTTGTCGTCACTGTAAGTAAAGCAAAATTGTTTTATGAAGTATTGCTTAGGGTAATTAGTGTGAAGAGGGAGCATGGTAAGACGAAGAGTGCTACGGCGGCTGCCACGGACACGGCCATGTGAGGTGGGAGTTGCGGCGACACAAATACCAGAGAGGATGGCGACACAAATGTCAAAGAGGATTGCGAGAATCTTGGTGCTTGTAAGTGTGAACGGAACCGGTACGCAAAAATTTTTGCACTTCGTTATTGAAAAGAGCGGATTCCTTCTTGTTCGGCTAAGTTGCATTTGCAGCCTCTTCGAGGTGGTAACGCTAGTAGATTATCGACTGCTGGACATAGAATCTATAACGAGAGCGCAATGTGTGCGATGTACTCTTGTCAGTACGACGTGTGGTACGACGGACATACGTCAAAGCATTGGTGTGAATGTGTTTTTCTACCGGCAGTCCGTCAACGCACCTCACAACCCGTTCTCATTGTGTCTGAAAACCTTGGTGGCCGCCTTTCTAATTTTCAGCACGAAAATGTTCTTACGGTGTTCCTGTCATTGCGATCAGCTAGTGGAAGCGAGGATAAGGGTATTCCAAGACTGCAACAATTACCTCCGACAGCAATTGAGGCCAATATTAATGCTGACTCCTTGGCACAAGTCCAGCCTCTGCATGGTGCTGTTTGCTATTTGTTTATCGAGCAACGCTTTGAAAATGCCCAGCCCGTGAAACACACTTTACATTCACATTTTGGATCTTATAGCCACCGATCCTTCATAGTTTTGTCCATCGAAACCAATGCATTAAGAATCAACTTGTCGGGAGCCCGGAGATCGAGTGAGCGCTGCTCGTCGAAATCCGAAGAAACTGACAGGCAAACGTGTCGAATCGACTCTGTCGAAACGCCAACCAAGATGTTGGTAGCACGAATTACAATGTGTGATACTCCATGCATAGCCTGCGAACCACGTGTCCTCCGTACTACGATTTATGTCCACAAACACACGGGCACGGTCCACATTGCGCAGTGTCAACACTTGAAACACGTGACCTCCAGGATTGACGAAAGTTCCTCCAGCTGCACCATGCGCCGTCGTACTGAAAATCTCACGAGTCTTCGTGAGAAAAGAGCCGCACAGAAAACAGAAAATATCTTCCTGAGTCTGCCCGAGTAGCTCAATCTCTCGACGTAGCAACCTCACAGTGGAGTTTATTCTCAGAAGCTCTAGTCGCTGTGTCGTGTCCAGCGGCAAGTTACCAGCTACCCAGACTGCGAAACGTTTTGGGTCTTGTCGGTCGCTAGGCAGCGCCAAATAGTGCACTAAAGACGCTTTCTCATCACATTCATTTTCATCACCTCGCCCATTTGATCGTTCCGTGCGTGGCTTGTAAAACCATTCGCTGTGAATGTTCCACAGCAACGCATTTTGAATTTTTTGCACCAACACTCGTACATCGTACAACGCGTAGATAGCGTGTCCCCAGTACGCTGGAAATTGTCGTTCACGTACTCTCTGCAAAATCGTCTTTTTGTTTTTCTCCCTCCTCTGACCCTCCTGCTTGGTTCTCCGCTGCCAATACAAACCGTGAAACGGAATCGACTGAGTTCCGTCCTGTTCCAAGATCTCCACTTCTCCCCACAAGAGCTTAGCATTCGGCTCAGCTGGCAGTCTTTTCCTAAGACGGAAGCGCTGCCTCGCAGCGCCAATCAACCTCACGCTTTCGTCGTCTACGCTAAAGCGCTCGACTCGAACTGTGACCCCGTACTGCGGTCCAGTCTGATGTGGAGGTAGCACAGCCAGTAGAGCTCCTCCAGTCGACAGCAAATCTCGAACATTATTAGGAGAAAGTGAGTCAGAAAGAATCCGAAGCGGTAGATCTTCACCTGGGAATAAAACCTACACAATAACTGTTAGAGAATGGCAGCTATCTATCTGTGTGTAAAGTGTTGCAGCTTTGTATACAATCTCGGGTAAGTACAGCAGCGCTAGAGTCAGGACTTTGCCGTCAGAGTAGTAAAAGGACTGGTGGTTGTCTGCAGCTTCCAATGAACCCAAGTACACGTGGGTCTCGCTGCCTGTCGCCATACGATAATATTTTGACGTGAATGGCTTTCTAACAATTAATGTGCATTTCTAATCAACCTCTAATTTCTATTTGGCAAAGAATAGGAATTACTTTTTCATAAATATGCGTGTTTAATCACCTTTAGAAGACCGCTATTCCCTTTAATAATTAGTTTTCTCTTCCATTGTTCTCCAGAAAAACTTATAACGCAAAGGCAATACATTCCCAAAAAAAGCATTAGCCTACTATGCTCAGCCGCTCGATATTTCTTGAGAGTTTGTCCCTCACGTAGGCGGCAGAGATGGACGGAGATAGATCGACAAGATACTCAGTCAAAGCGTGTTACGCACGGACTACGGAGACAAATCCATGGCCAAATCGGTTTTAGTATCGCTACATTTACTGCCTCGCCGTCACTTTAATTTAAATGTGGGCGCTCCTAGATAAAGAAACTAGACTTGGTTCGCTTCTGACACCCCTGAGTTTTGGCACGAAGACTAACGTCTAAGCTTTCGTTTTCCTGCTATCTTGACTCCCATAAGCACTTGCCTTATACACATCACCTTAAGTGCACAAGTGTATCTTGCTGTGCTTGGATGTAACAGTAAGATTAGTTACAGACATGCCAAGTGTTTCCACGACTTCGTGGCGTCTCATAAAGAGTGCTAGCTTGACTTTAGGTCGTTCGGAAGGAGGTAGCGTGGTGGTAGCTGACGATAGGAAGCAATCATTAATGAAATTATCGTTTGTTGTAAGCTTTAAATTGGTCACGTAGCAATATAACGTCTACTAATGAGAGTCCCTGAACAGGTATAAATGCGTTGCTATTTACTTCATTCCCTCCCCAATCTCGGTGCACCCTTATTTTTTCTTGCCAATCAGCTATTATGTAGTAAGAGTGTAGGTAATACAGACCATCCTCCAATAAGATATTCTTTGATAAGTTTTACCTCCGGTAGATTACCAAATTTTGCGTCCCGGTAGTTTCGGTGGTGGGCTTCACTTTTGCGAATGCCAAATTGAAGGTCGCATAGGAATCTATAAGCAGCTTGATGACTTTCCTAGCTTACATCGAGCAGGAAGCAGATATCATGAAGGAAGTTCATCTTTTAAATTCGATGAACTTGTCTGTTGCAAGAGCCACATCTCTACTGCTTTCACCCTCCACCTGTGCCTGGTTTATGTAATGGGGTGAGTCCATTACCTTATATTAACACTTATATTAATGTTCAATAAATAGTCTTTATCTATCTATATACTAATATTCTATTGTCCGTATCTGGTCATGCCCTCTCTGGCTGGGCCATTGGGCATGAGGTCATTTCACCCGAGGATGTCGCTACGCAAACGGCTCTTTGACAACGCTATCTGGAACCCCATATCACTACGCAAAGCCAATAATTGGCACGCCTCACTAGGCAAGTGCGCGGTGCACCAGTTCCTCCCACAAAGGGTGTTCCCATCCTTCTATTCGCGGGAAACCGAGGAAGAAGAAGACACGGCTTTTAGCCGCTGGGCGCATTATGCGCGACGCTTAATCAGCATGTGGGCCCTACGGGCAAGTGCCGACGTGGCAGACGTTCGTCTCGAACGGAAAATGCGTTACGATTACGCTAAATCGAAGTCCAGAGGAAAGTTGAAGTCTTAACGAACGCAATATGCGTCTGCTAAACAGCTTTTCAATGTTTTGGCTACTCCTGTAGCCGCAGGTTCACGACAGTCCGAGGCCGCTAACTCGCCTACCCTCACCACTACTGGTGAGAAGCGTCATCGCCAAAAGGTTGGCCCTGCGTACGACGTTCAAAAACGTCCACTGCGTATGGGCAATCCTAACCTCGAACTCCCATGTGTTCCACGACTCGGGATACCCCCGCCACTTCACCAGATACTGGTTCTGACCGTGGCGGCGACGCTTCTGCAGTAGACGTTCAACATGGAACTGAAGGTTCCCCTGTCCATCAATCAAAGCCAGAGGAGGCCGGTGTACCGGCACAAGTTCATGCCGAGCTACTTCAAGAGGTGAAGTATCTCCCGTGAGACTGTGCAGACGATGAATTCCCGCCTTGAGTCGCTGGAGCAGAGTCGAACCCGAGTGGAGGGTTAGCTTAACCTTTTGGTGCAGATGATGCGTCCCGCGGCAATGCCGATGAGCTCGGCGCAAGCGCCTTAATGTTCACTTGGGATGGATCCCTATATGGTTTGAGCATGCCGACGTAGAACACGGGATGTGTACGCAATTTGCGCGGAAGATTAAGCGTATACGCTAAGCCTTTCTTGTCCACGACCGTAAAGGGTCCGATGAAGCGCGTACGCAATTTTGTCTAAAAGACAGCAGACACTACATTGGTAGGTAGGTTTTTAGCATCAAGTAAGACTTGGTATCCGACCTTACAATAATCAATACAACTTCTGCTTTTAGCATCCGCATATTCCTTCCGTTTATCTTGGCTATCAGCCATTGCGTCTTGCACATGTCGTAAGACATTTAGTCGCGTTGCGAGAAACACATTCACCTGTTTCTTAACAGTAATAGGGCTGACATCAGCAAGCCGATCGGCAACCTCTCCCCCACCAAGCCCTGAAACACTCGGTGGTAGCGTTAACGGAACGCGTGCGTGTGTGAGACCATTGACATAGATCGAAGTGTAGCCGGTAGAGGCGTGCACGGAGTTATTGAGTGCAACTCAACTACAGGGAGCATAGAGCTCCATCGCTTAGGCGTTTCAGCGCAAACACTGCGGAGGATATCTTCAACAACGCGATTTACGCGTTCAGTTTGACCATCGGTCTGCGGATGATCCGCTGTGGACATGTCCAAACGGGTGCCCAGCACCTGGAAGACGGACTTCAAAATTTACTCGTGAAACGAGGATCACGATCAGAAACAATTGCCACTGGCAAGCCATGTTGGCGAAACACACGATCGATAAACAGCTCCGCTGTACCCACACCATCGATCGAGTCTGACCATCCCTAAGTGAGCCATCTTGCTCAAACGGCCCACAAAGACCACAATACCTGTATTGCCATGCGAATCTTTCGGTAGGCCAAATACAAAGTCCATACTAATGGACTCCCAGCACCCAGTGGGAATAGGCAAACTAGCCAGCGGCGCTGCCAAATGGGGCGAGGGTTTCACCCGTTGACACGTTTCACACGTACGCACATATGTGCTCACCCATTTATATAATTTGGGCCATAAATAACTTTTACATACCGCCCCATAGGTCTTTTCACGACCCAAATGACCCCCGATGGCGGTGTCATGTACCTCATAGAGGATACGATACTTCAGGTCCTCGTCATGAGGAACAACAATACGCGGAGGATCCGCCACATCCGTACGATAGTACAACAGCCCCTGATCGATAGAATATCGATGGAGGCTCACACGTAATCGTGCCGACAATTCAATGTCCGAGTCTTTAAACTCATCACTGCCAAGAGCATGTAGCAACGCTATACAGTGATCATCTTTAGTATACGCCGTATCAAATGAGATCAATGATAGAAGACGATAACGTCTTAACATGAGCAAGCTCATAGTCAGGTCTGCATGACAACGTATCAGACAAAGCATTTTGCTTGCCCGGCTTATATTTCACCTCGAAGTTATATTCGACTAAGAACGACATCCATCTGGTCCATTCTCTGCGAGAGATGCGGCGACTGAGTCGCAGTGCGTAAAGATGCATGATCGGTATAGATCACAAAAGGCTTCAAGCCCAGCAGATGAACTCTGAATTTGACCAGGGCATACTTCATCGCAAGTAGATCTTTGCCATGAACCAGATATTTATTTTCTGCAGCTTTCAGCTGGCGAGATTCAAAAGCGATTACACGCTTACGACCTTCATCATATGTTTGTAACAGAGCACTGCCAATGGCAAAATCCGACATGTCACAGACGACGCTAAACGGTCGGTCAGGATCCGGCAAAGCCAAAATGAGAGCATGAAGAAGGCTAGCCTTCACCGCTTGAAAAGCATCCTCATGTTCGGAATGCCAACACCATTCCACATCCGTTTTAAGGAGATTGGATAATGACCGAGCCATATCAGCGTAATTCTCGCTGTACTTATGTAAGTAATTGACAAGGCCAAGACAATTACGCAAGTCCTTCTGAGACTGTGGAATAGGCCAATCGACTATGGCTTTAACCTTAGCGGGATCTGCTCTGAGGCCTAGCTTCCTAACGAAGCACCCTAGAAAGGGAATTTTTTCAGCCCCGAAGATGCACTTAACAGCATTAGCATATAGATTATTAGTGCACAAACACTCTAGCAGAGCTCGTAAATGAACAATATGGGTCTCGGTGTAATACCGCCCATCAAAAATGTCATCAAAGTACGTCTTTGCATACTTTTGATGGGGTCGAAACAATTTCGTCACCAAACGGTAAGACGTAGCCGGAGCATTCGATAGCATAACCAACCGCTACCAGAGCATACCGCTCGGAGTACTAGCAGCAGTGAGCGGAATATCGCTAGCTCGCATGAGAAATTGGTAATAACCATCGACTAAGTCGAGCGCACTGTACATGGTACAACCGACCATATTGTACTAGAGAACATCCTATCTGGGTATTGGCGTCTGTGAAGGTATAGTGGCTTTATGGAGCTTATCTTAAGCATGGACGATACGCCACTTACCATTCGGTTTCTTATCACAAAAAGTGGGTGTGGAGTGCGAAGATTTGCTCTCGCGCACCATACCCGCTGCGTGCTTTGCACGAAAGAACTCGTCAATGACGTCACACTGTTCTTTGGGTAAAGGCCACTGCCGTGTTACACAGTATTTGGTTCCAGGAACCAAGTCAATCTCATGACGTACACCCCTATCAGGTGGTAGAACCGACGGTGGATCGTGACACACCACGTCCTGGAATTCCTTAACTAAGGGGTAGTAGGGATCTGAAGGGTTCTTCGAAATAGATGATCCACTACGCGCACTAATTGCCGCCTTTTTATCTTCAAGGACTGTCTCATCGACAAGCGAGGATGAATTCATCTCGAGGTTA